CCATAGTAAAATTCTGCACAGGATTTCAATTATTTTTAAGACAATTTTAAAAAAATTCCTCGAAAAATGTAATTATTTTTAAAATTTTTTTGCCACAATTCAATTACATTTCACAAATCATTAAATTCTTCGCTGAAATTCAAATATTTTTAAAATCTACTATTTTAAAAAAATTTTTCAAAAGAAATCAATTATTTAAAAAAAAATGTAATAAAATTCATTGCAAGAATTCAATTATTTTCATAAATAATAAAAATCTTTACAGAATGTCAATTATTTAAAAAGCAATTAATAAAATTTGTTGCAAGAATTCAATTATTCTCCTAAATAATAAAATTCTTCGCAGGATTTCAATTATTATTTATACAATTTTAAGTAAATTCTTCGAAAAATGTAATTATTTTCAAAAATTGTATTAAAATTCTTCAAATAGGAATTCAATTATCAATTTTTTAAAATAATTTTTGCAAAAGTTCCTTGAGAATTTTCAAATCCATTTGTCTACAATTCAATTTTATGAAATTTCGATTATTCGGAAATTCGTTCAATAAAATATTTAGAAATTAAAAACTTGAAATAATTTCAAAAAGGAAATTAAATTAAACTTTTTCAAAAAAACTATAATTCTACAGAATTGTCAATTAAAAGCATGAAAAATTTTAACTTTCAAAGATTTTAATTTGAAACGTTTTTAAAATTCAATTATTTTTAAAACTCCATGTTATAATGCTTTTAATATTCAATTATTATCTAAAATTTTAACTGCAATTCATTTTTAAATCAATTTTTATAATAAAATTCTACAAGAATTCAATTTCAATTTCAACAAATTTTTAAATAATTGAATTTTTTTGACGAATTTTAATAAAATTCGTTCAGGAATAATTACATTTTTCGAGGAATTCGATTAAAATTGTATTAAAAATAATTGAAATTCCATGATGAGTTTTATTATTCGTGAAAATAATTAAATTACTGTAAAAAATTTTTATAATTTATGAAAATAATTGAATTATTGAAAGAAAATTTATAAAAAATTTGTAAATTGTTGAATTCCTGTGAAATTTTTATTATTTATGAAAATAATTTAATGTTTGCTTAGAATTTTATCAACATTTTTTTTTTAATAATTGAATTCTTTTGAAAAATTCTATTAAAATAGTATAAATATTAAAAATCATTGAATTAAGGAAAATTTTTGAAAATAATTGAATTTTGGAGAAATATTTTATTATTTTTAAATTGAAATTTTGACGAGAATTTTTTTTTTTAATTTTTGAACATAATTGAATTATTGCGAAGAATTTTATTACTTTTGAAAATAATTGAATTTCTGCATAATCATTTGTAACTTCTCCAAAATTCAATTTTTTCCAGTTCTTTAATAAAAAAAGAGAAAGAAAAAAAGAGAGAGGCAAATATAGAGAAAGAGAAAGAAAGTAAGAAAATGAGAAAGAGAGAGAGAGAGCTCGTTGTTCTTTCCCAAAAATAATATACATATATGGCCTCCGGGCCCTTTTACTGCGACGAATACTGTTAATGTGTGCGCGCCAGTTCATCACTATATCGCTATCATTTTTTCCCCCAGATCCCCATTGTCATCCAATCGTTCGTGTATATTTAGAAAAAGCCGCATTTCTGATTCAATAGCAGATTTTTTTTTAATTAATCAACCACAATAAGCTTATTATATATTCCATTTGTAATGTACATATTTCTGTGAAATCCCTCCATTTGGATCGTCTTGTGTTTGAGATTGTATCGTATATTTTTTTTAATTCTCATGCGATTTGATGAAAAGCTGATGAAAATTTTTATCTATATTATTTTCTTCTCGTAATAATTATCTTCTGATGACTATCATTTGATTATTATTTTTTGATGATTGTTTATTAAGATTCGGACTTTAGATATTTATTATGCAGAAATGATATAATTTATTTTAATTGAGAAATATACAACAGGTCCAAATTTATTTATTTTTCTGCTTTTTCAAATGAAAAACAAAGATTTTATATAAAATTTGTAAATTAGGATGTCTTCAAATTTTTTTTTTTGTATAAATTTCTAAATAGAATTTATAAATAATTTCGTTAGAAATTGTGATTAAAAAACTGAAGTTAGACAAATTTTTTTTTTCTAAAAGAATCTAAAAATTTTGTATCCAAAGAATGTTGACAAATCAATATTATGAAAATTTCTTACTTTTATTTTATAAAAATCTTTTTAAAAATTATTAACAAATACAATTTAATCAATAAAATTTTGAGAAAATTAGTATAAAAAAATTATCTAATTAAAATTAGAAATATTAGTAGGTTTCAAAAATAATTGGAAAAAATCTATACTCGAAAATTAAAACAAAAATAATAATCCTTTTGGTATACTGTTATATAATAGATATGATATATAATAATTTATCAAGTAATTCCAAAATATTTTCCCCGAACGTCATTAAATTAAATTTATCGTAATTAATTTTCATTTAATTATTATAATTGGCAATTAAAAACGACAAAGAAAATACTTAAATCGCTTAATACGTTTGGAAGAGTATACACAAATAAAACAGATTTTACAAAATTAGAACTAAAATTAAATAACAAAAATCCAATTTAAAACAAAACAATAATAAACACAAATAATTATTTATTACTCATTATTTTCTATTAATATTTATAAACATTAATTTATTATTATTTTTTAAAATTATTTTGTAATAAAAAGGTCTAAAACCCTAAAAAAATACTACATCCTATTATTATATTATTTTGTTATTATTATTAGATAAATATTTTCTATTTTAGAAATCTATTTTATAAAAAAAGTGAAAGAGTGTTTTTTCTTTCACCTTTTACACATAAATATCTTTCAAAAATCGAAAAAATAATTTTTATATTATTATATTATATAATTATTATTTTTTTATTTATTATAACATATAGTTCATACCTTTCGATTTTGAACGTGATTGTAATATTATAATATATAATTATGAAGATAAATTATTTTTAAAACGAAAAAAAGAAAAGAAAAAGAGAATTTTCAATCTAAATTAAAATCGATAAAATTAAATAACGAATAAAAAATTTACGATTAGTTGAGAAATTGAATTTATAATAAATCGCATTCCAGTAGGGATTAGGCAATTCCATTTAATTACAGTTGCCATTAATTAAATTGACATCTATAAAATAATCACGGGGATTAAGGTACTTATATACTTGTGTGTTGTACAAAGTGAATTTTAAAGAAAGAAAATAAAATGTTAAATTAGCAAAGAGGAACGATACTTTATATATGTATATGTATGTTACCGGTAAAACCCGAAGTCCAGGCATTTTGCGAAATGCCTAGACAAATCGGGAAATACCTAAAATCTTAGGTATTACTCAAATTTCCTAGACATTTTTAGGTATTTTCCGAATTGCCTAGGCATTTTCGTAAATTTCCTAGGCATTTCGCGAAATGCCGAAGTCGATTTAGGCAAATTGAAAAATTTATTGAAACCTTAATTGTGAACATATATTTTTTGCTGGTTATTTGTTGCAGCATGTCAAACTTACGGGATTTTCGCCGTAGATTACGAATCTGTAAGTTAAATTGTCCCATCACGTCTCAATTTTGAGAAAAACGGGGTCCAAGTGTCAAAATATCCCATTTTTAGCACTTTTTGAAGCACTATAAAAAAAAGAACGCGACGTGATAGAAAGCTCAAATATGTCTTAAATGAGAGCTCGAACCCTCAACTTTAAAATCTAAAAACAAAAAACTATGTAGAAATAACTCAAAATTGTGGTGAACAACTTTTTACCGCGTGCGCGCCCATCAGCTATTATTTTAGTTAGCGATCATATAGGGTAAATTAATAAAAAGTTGTTCCCCACAATTTTAAGTTATTTCTACTTGGCTTTTTGCTTTTGGATGTTAAAGTTGAGGGTTCGAGCTCTTATTTAAGACATATTTGAGCTTTCTATCACATCGCGTTCTTTTTTATAGTGCTTCAAAAAGTGCTAAAAATGGCATATTTTGATACTTTGACCCCGTTTTTCTCAAAATTGAGACGTATTCTTGTAGCAATATTTTGTCGAACAGTGTAATAGACTAATAATTTTGTAAACAATCTGTTTACATTAGTATGCGCAGCTTACAAATGATCAACTTTTCATTTTGCCTAAATCGACTTGGGCATTTCGCGAAATGACTAGGTATTTCGCGAAATACCTAGGCAATTTGAGAAATGCCTAAAATTTCTAGGTAAAACTCGAATTTCCTGGCCACTTTTAGGTATTTCCCGATTTGCCTAGGCATTTCGCAAAATGCCTGGACTTCGGGTTTTACCGGTAACATGTATATATAAAATAGTCCTGGGGATATTTTTGACCAGGGAGAATTCAAGCTTCTTGTTCTGTTAATAAAATCAGTCGCTAATTACGCAAAGCGTTCGAGCGTATTGCGTTGGAGTGCTAAAGGCACACCATCCGCGTAAGTTTTGTTTTCTCCCTTCTTCAAAATTGCCCACAAAATCTCTCTCGTTTCTTTCTCATATATATATACATGTAGACATAAACTCACACATAAATTGCGCATTCATTTGTAGAATTAACGCATAAAAAAAAGGAAGTGAAAAAAAACATTACGCTCGTCATATTACTCGCTTGCTGAACTTGCGTCAATTACTTTAATCCCCCCCAGGACCAATTGCTGATTAGAAGGATTTATGCCGCTTATATGGATCGCTCTTTCATTAAACTATGCAGAGAATTCAGTGAAATTATTTTTTATCTCAAAAAAGTTTAAATAAATAAAAATAAATTAATAAAATAATAATTATATAGTATTGAATATTTATTGCATATTCCGTACAATAAAATATAATTATAATTTATAATCTACAACTTATTTAAAAGTTATGAAAAATTATAATAAAATTAGAATTCAAGGATATACACTATTTCTGGATAATTGGTTCGGTGTTTATACACAAATGACAAAAATTATTTATATATATATAAAACTCTTTTATTTCATTATGTATAAAAATTTCCCCCTTTATATGTGCAATAACACCTTAATAAACAAACGATAATTGGATTATTCGATAATTTATAATTCTCGATCATCCATTAAATTTCTGACATAAAATTGATTTCTATGCTTCAATATTTTCTTCCGTTTATTAAACAAAAGGATAAGTGTCAATAAGCTTTCCATTAATCCTCGAATTGTAATCATAATATTTATTTTCTATAAGCATTCTAATCGCACAATGAGTGAAAAGTTCAGACTAGTATTTAAAAATATTACAGAATTGGAAGACAATTCGGAAAAATTGTTCCAAAATTGACATTAACTTTTTTCCAATGTAAAATAATAAATAATAATAATATAATTGACCCAATAAAAACATTGGAGTCAATTATTTAAATATTATCCCAATTTTATTTTTTTTTTCTTGATAAATCGTAATTTGTAAATAAATTTACGTTTACTTTTTTTAATTCTATCCAAATTCATTGACACTCAAACTTTAGTTTTATTTTTTCTTCTTGTTTTTGAAGAATTTTGAATTTAAATCAAGAGATATAAAATATCGACATATTATTTTGTTGATACTTACAGATATAGTACAAATATATATATAAACATATATATCAAAGAGGCAGAACTGGAATAAATTTACAGTTTTGGTCGATTAGCATCGAGTAAAGTCTTCAATTTTTGAGTCAACATAATATTGCCTTTTATTTTGAGCTTTCCTTGCATGAATGCGACTTGAGGATTTAACTTTCCAAGCGTCTGTACAAAAAAAAACAAATTTACAAATTAATATAAATATTCGTATAAAAATAGGAGTTAGAAAAAAAATTTTATTTTAGAAGAAAAAGAAAATACCATTTGAATCATATCTTTATCATCGATGGTGAGAGTTGTGTCTGCTTTCGTTTTGGGTTCACCTCTGTACACTTCTCCCTTCTTCAAATCGATTGCTGTAAAAATAAATATTACATTTTTATATTTATCGCAAATTTATTCAAAATAAAATTATTTTTAAAATAAAAAGTTGAAGTCTGATTTATTTTATACATTTTTAAAATGAAAATGGCAATTTATATTTATCAGAAAATGTTCTGAACATTCAAATGAACGAAAGTCTTCGACTCGGAGTGATCGCTTTCTTCATGTTTTATAATAATTAAATTTTGCTACTTTGTTACTGTAACTCCTTCAAAAATTATTTTCATCACTTCGAATTATTCATTTCTAGAATTTTCAACTAAAATTCTTCTTGTCAATTTTTTTAAAATAATTTTTGAAAACGTTCTTTGTAAATTTTCAAATTCTTTTGTTTTCAATTTAATTTTACGAAATTTCGATTATTCTGACATTCTTCAATTAAATATATTAGAAATTAAAAACTTCAAATAATTAAAAAAAATTCCATTCAACTTATTGAAAAAAATTAATTCTACTATAGAATTCTTAATTAAAAGTTCAAATTTAAAAGTTTTAAAAGTTCAAAGATTTTAATATCAAATTCATTTTTAAATCAATATTTATTAGAAAATTGTACGAGAATTCAATTATTTAACTATAAAAATAAATATTTTATTAAAGAATTGAATGTTTCTTAAAATTGAGTTCTCATAAAGAATTCATTCATTTTATCAACAAATTTGTAAATAACTTAATTCTTTTGACAAATTTTAATAAAATTTTTAAGAATAATTGCATTTTTCGAGAAATTTGATGAAAATTGTATTAAAAATAATTGAAATTTTGACAAGGATTTTATTAAAATTTTTGAAAAAAATTGAATTTCAGAGCAAAATTTTATTATTTATAAAAATAATTGAAATTTTGAAGAGAATTTTTGTAAATTTTTAAACATAATTGGATTTCTGCAAAGAATTTTATTAAAATTATTTTTAAAAAATTGAATTTTTACGTAAAGAATTTCATTAAAAAATGTATTGAAAATAATACTTAAATTCTAATAAATAAATTGTAGCAAAGGTTATTAAAATAATTAAATTTCTTTGATAAATTTTAATACAATTTTTAAGAATAATAACTTTTTTCGATGAATTCCATTAAAGTTGTATTAAAAATAATTTAAATTCAACATTGAGTTTTATTATTTATAAAAATAATTGAATCCCTGTAAAAAATGTTATTATTTATGAAAATAATTGAATAATATATGAAAATAATTTGGAAATAATTGAATTCCTGTGAAATTTTTATTATTTATGAAAATAATTAAATGTTTGCGTAGAATTTTATTAAAATTACTTTTAACTAATTGAATTTTTTTAAGAATTTTTATTAAAGTAGTAGATATTAAAAATCATTGAATTGAGGAAAGTTTTTAAAAATAATTAAAATTTTGCCAAGAATTTTATGAATATTTTTGAAAATAATTGAATTTCTGCAATCAATTGTAATTGCATCTGTTTATGATTTATTTTAATTTCAATTTAATATAAAATTGATTATTCATTATTTTATAATTTTTTTAATTGAAAATTGCAATTTTGTATTCCATCTATTTACGGAATATTTAAATTTTAATTTAATATAAAACTTAATACAAATGTTATGTGAACATTAACTTAATGTAAATGGTTTTTTGTTTGTCACATAAATGTTAATTTAATATGAATGTTAACTCAATAAAAATTTAATTCTCTAATGTGATATAAATTCTATTCCTTAAAGTATAATATGAATGTTATATTCTATATAAATTTTGAGCATATTCACAGTAAATTTTTCCTCTTAATTGAATCTATTTTTGAAATACTTCAGTCTTTAATGAAGGCAATTTAAAAATTTTGTTAAATATTTTACTAAAAAGTGATAAGAGTAAAAAAGCAATTAATTTCAACGATTATTCCACTGCTTTGGAAATACTTACTCCATTGGGCTGTTGGTTCGCCTTTCGATGTCACTACATAGTGAAATATTCCATTTATTTTCTTAACTTCTTCCGTGTGTGACTTGACATAATCATTAATTTGCTCAAAGACTCCATCGCTTTCGAGATTTACTTTAGCCGAGCACAAATTCTTCATAACTGTTGGCTGCTGAACTTGTTTCAAGTCAATATAAGCACCTAATTTAAATAAAATAAAAAATTATAATTCAGTAATTAAAAAATATGAGAAATATACATATATTAAAATTTTTAAATATTCTATTAAATTATTAAATTATCAGTTATTTTATTCTATTTTTATTTATTAATTTATTCTATTCTATTCTTAATATTTAATTATTAAATTATTTTAATTTCTAATTTTTAATTATCCATAAATTGAACGTTCAAACGAACGACGATTTTTTCGTTAAAATTTGAATTTTGTTAAGAAACATTTGTTTGCTATTTCAGAAAATTAATTCCTTTCTATAAACACTGGTTTTATTTTATTTTTAATTTTATTCTGCGGTAATTTTTAAAAATATTTACAAAGAAAAAGTTTCGTTCATTTAGTAAAATTTAATTACAGAGAATTTATAATTAACATGAATGAAATCGTGTTCGAAAAATAAAAATCATGTATGTTAATCACAAGAACAAAAGAAGATAAAAATGATGATGAAATAAGCAAAAAAAAATTGATAAAGTACTTAATTAAAATTGAAAATATTCACCTGTAATGACTGGAGTTTCAGTTTCAACTACTGTTGTCTCGAAGTGAATTCTGTTTCCCTCTTGCCACATATCAGTACGTAATGTCTGTCCTGGATAAACTGGCTTTGTAAATCTTACCTGTAACAATTGAAATTAATTGAAAATTTACAAATAAATTACTGAGAGAATAATTAAAATGGCGTATACACAAGAGAGAAAACAAGAAAACGAACTGACTCAACAAAATTCTTTAATACTCTTTTGCCATATCATTCATTGATTCTTGTCTGTCCACTACTATTCCGCTTCGTGTCCATTACACACATTACGTAACATTCAGTATCAATGACGTAACGCCAACTTCGATTATTTTACATCGTTTATTTACATATAAAAAAAAATTTCATATTTTAAATAAAGTCAAAGATCAAAGATATTTAAAAGCTACAAAATTCAATTATTCACAACAATTTGCTATTAAATTTATATTATTAATTTACTACCTGATATTAAATATAATTAATCTATTTTTAGTTTATGTATATTCAGATTTATTAAATTCCGAATTAGTTAATTAATTCATTTTTAAATTCATTTTTAAATAAAAATTAATTTTATTACATAAATATTTTTAATTTCATTGTTTTATTTTCAAATTAACAGTAAATAAAGTTAATAAATGCACTTTATTCAAATTTCAATTTGACTCAGTTTTCTCATTTATAAATTTATAATTTCTTTCAATTTTCTTGGAAAATTTAATTAAATTTATTACCTTGATTGCTTTGAATAAATCTGAATCGCCGCCAGCGTACGTATGAAGCACGTGACGAGTTGAAAATCCAAGTGAGCATAATCCATGTAAAATAGGCTGCGAATATCCAGCTAAACTGGCGATCATTGGATCAATATGAAGTGGATTATAATCGCCACTTAATCTATACAATGCTGCCTGTAAGATTAACAGATTTTTTTATCAAAGTAAATAATGCAACAAAATCTATATTTAATATTGATCTTTGACATTTCATGATTATTCATCATTTAGACCTTGATGTTAATAAGCCTTTTCTTTAAATATCAAATTGGCGTTTAATTTTTTACAAATGTAGAGTAAAAATATATTTTTATTTATTTTATTTTATATTCATAAAATTAATTTCAAGGTAGTTTTTTAATTTTTTGCAATGAATTCAAATGATTATAAAATTAAATGGGTCAGAAAATATTTTGACCTCTTTTGAATTTTTATTTTTCTTAAAAACTGGTAGATTTTGAAATCCGTGCGTAGCTTTGTAGAAAATATGTTTTTGTATCCACAAAAAAATTGCCGAATAAAAAGTTTGATTTTTACTATTTCTGCAGAATTTTTTTTTTTGAAAAAAATTGTTTTTTTTATCGAAAAGTTGCAATTTTTATCTTTGAATCTTAAATAATAACATAACTGACTCTTAAGTTATTTGTCACCTTCCAAGAATCGAATTTTAATCTTAACCAAAATAAAAATTATTTTTATGTTAAAAATACTAAAAAAATCCTATTGCTATTCAATTTTTGTATTTGAAAATTCATTTTTTTAACTAATTTTAGAAAATAATTTTTTTTTACATAAAAAAAATATAAAATATAAAACAAATTACAATAAAATACAAATGAATTTTCAAAAAAAAAAACTTGAATAATAATGATATTCATCAAAAAATTATTATATGAAAACAATTTTATATAATTTTTAAATGATTTTCTTGATACAGTTGATATATTTTTAAATATTTTTTATTTTTTATATAAAAAAATTATGATATGAAATTAGTTAGAAAAATAAACTAATCAATTTTCAAATAAAACAATGAATAACGATAGTATTTTTAGTCTAAAACCAATTTTTTGCCATTAAAAAAAAATTAAATTAAAAAAATTCTTCAAAAATTCATAGTAAAAATCCAATTTTCCATTCAACAACTTTTGTGGATACAAAAACATTTTCTAGAAAATTACGCATGGATTTTAAGATCCATACATTTTTCGAAAAAAAAATTCAAAAGAGATCGAAACATTTTCCGATACATTTTATTTTATGGATATTTAATTCCTAACGAAAAAATTAACATAAATATAATTTTATGGGAGATTTAAAATATTTTCTTAATATTATGTAGTTAAAAATATCCCTTAACAAAATAATTTTTTACTATGAAAAGTAATTATTTACGAAAATATTTTTACCTGATCGATGTTAGTTTTTTGTTGAACTGACATGTCCGGTTTGCGTTTTGGATGATCAAATGTTGGAATAATGTGAGGTGAAGTTCGTTTACCGTTAAAACCACCACCTCCAATAACGAATACGGACATTTGAGTTGTTGTTAATTTATCTCCATTTTCGTCGAAGGATTCCTCTGCAAAAAAAAGTATTTTTGTTCACGTAATCTAATAGTATCCATTTTATTTAATAATTTCATTAATAATTAGTAAACAATCTATTAATAATTAATAAGCAATGTATTAATTATATTATAATATTTATTAAATTTATTAAATGATAGTAAATAATTTAATTCTTACGAAATAATTTATAAATATTATAGAGTAATTTATTAATCATTTCGTCAAAAATTTTCTTTAATTCAAAAAAATTCTATTTATTTACGTTCGACTAGAATAACGGCTCCTTTTCCCTTATCCATGACATCTTTAACACGGAAGCGAGATTCAATTTTTCCTTCTGTTGGGAAACGTTTAAAAACCTCCAAATATTGTTCACCGTGAAGAATCTGTAATGAAAAAAATATTAAGACTATACGAATAATTTAACAGTAACGACATTTTGTATCTTAATTAATTTAAGTGATTTAATATCATTATTTTTATATTTTAAGTGATTGAACAATATAATGAATTATTTTTATTGAAAATTAAGATTGAGAAATTAAAACTGAAAAATAATAATTTCTAAAAAAAAAAATATTAAACAAACCCTGGTTGGATCAAGTTGCACTCCAGGTAGAACATTTTCGAAAATTGAAGATGTTAAAAGTCCTCTCACTCCAAAAGTAATGAAATATGTTGGCAATACTGAGAAATTTTCATGGTTTTCGTACAGATAACGCATATCGGAAGATTCTTTTGTAGTCGCACCAACTACAAACAGTTTTTATTATTATTTAGCTATATTTCAATTATATTTATCTTCTTCTTCTTAAATCTTACCTCCGAGAGCGTAGAGAATTATGTCCCGTTTATCGTAATCGAGCTTATTAATCACATCCTGAAAAAAAGAATCAATTCTCAATTTTGTATAATTTATAAGTATTGCTTATACTGAAAAAGAATTTTTAAAAATGAAATTGAGAAATAAAATTCAAACTATGAAATTTTTAAATAGAAAATTAGAACTTACACCACTATTTCCCTCTCTCATTTTGTCGAGACTGTTAATAAGTTCGCCTGTTGCTTCCTAGAAAGAAGGGAAGATTCAAATAACACAATTCTTCATTATCACACTATTAAGAAAATTTTTTTCTAATTACTCCAATAGAATTCAAGTGTTTCGCTTCAGACATGTCGGTGACAGATTCCCAATTATCTCGGACAGCTTCGGGTGTTACCATTTCGTTTAAATTCTTGCGTAGAATGCAACCCGTTGAACGGACCACATGAGCTGTTGGAATAAATAGTTTATAAAATTTTTGACTTACAAAAAAAGGAAATTTAGGAAAAAAACTAACTTTTTCCTGCCCAGCCCGCCGCAGCATCGATAATAGATCCATTATCGGGACAATTTTCGTGACACAGCCACGCAACGACAGGTGCGATTAATTCCGGTTTCAATGCCGTAAATAAATCTACGAGAAAAAACACCTTATTAAAAAAGTTTGCTTTTTTAAATGTAATAAACGTTAAATTTAAAAAAAAAGTAAACGTAAAAAACAGTTCATTGTTTAAAGTTCAGCTTTCTTTGTTTTGTTTTTATTTTTATGGAGAATAATCTTGTGTAAAATCCCAGAAAAGTTACCTGGAGGGAGAATGTCTTCGGTGAGACGTGAAGCGGCTGTTGGTACAATAACATTCGTGTGAATATTGTATTTTTCTCCCTCGAGTGCCAAGGTATTTGCTAAACCAACTAAACCCATTTTTGCAGAACTATAATTCGCTTGTCCGAAATTTCCATAAATTCCACTGTGACTCGATGTCATTACCACTCGGCCAAAACTTTGCTTTCGAAAATAGGGCCAAGCGGCTTGCGTTAATTTTGCAGCTGCTTTCAAATGCACACTATGCACAAGATCTACAATTTTTTTTTCAAAAGTTAATCACATTATCAAGAATTGAATATTTTTATCAAAAATAACAGGGTTGCCACAAAAATTTAATTTTCTTTTCCCTGATTTCCAGATAAAATTTTATCTTTTTCCCTGACCCTAAAGAATATTCTGATTCGCTTTAAAAATTATTAGATACTAAAAAAATGTTCTATTTACGAATTTCTTTAATTGTAAAATTATTCGAAAATATTAATAACTTAACTTCTTTTTAAATCATTATTATTTTTTTAGAGGAAAAAAGATTTCAAAACTTTAAAATTCAAACCTTTTGAAATTCAATAACTTGAAAGAATATGAATAGAATTATTATAAAACATGAAGAAATGGATCACTTCGAGTCAAAGACTCGAAGTGATCCATTTCTGCATGTTTTATAATAATTAAAGGTGACCGAGTGATAAAATCATTTTATATTATAATATTAAAAATATTGTTATTGTAACTTCTTAAAAATTATTTTCATGGTTTCAATTCAATTAGTATTTTTTAAAATTTTTAAATAAAATTCTATTTATGATAAAGTTTTTTTTGAGAATTTTCAAATTCATTTGTTTAAAATTCAGTTTTACGAAATTTCGATTATTCGGAAATTCTTCAATTAAATATACATTAGAAAATAAAAACTTGAAATAATTTTAAAAAATTGCGATTAAGCTATATTTGAAAAAAAATTAGTTCCATAGAATTTTCAATTAAAAGTATGAAAAATTCAAATTTTCAAAGAGTTTAATTTTAAACCTTTACAAAATTCAATTATTTCGGAAAATTGCAATTATTAGTAACTTTTTCAAAGTTAAATCTAAAACTTTATATGAAATTAATTTTTAAATCAATTTTTATTAGAAAATTCTACGACAATTCAATTATTTAAATACAAATGTAAATAATTTATTGAATAAATGAATGAATGAATGTTTCTTAAAATTTAATTCTTATATAGAATTTTATCAACAAATTTTTAAATAATTGAATTCTTTCGACGAATTTTAATAGAATTTTTACATTTTTTGAGGAATTTGATTAAAATTGTATTAAAAATAATTGAAATTCTGCAATGAGTTTTATTATTTATGAAAATAATCGAATTATTGCAAAGAATTTTATAAAAAAGTTTACAACAATTGATTTTTTTCGAAAAAATGTATGCAAATTCTATTTTTAATAATTAAATTCCTGTGAAATTTTCATTATTTTAGAAGATAATTGAATATTCGTTTAGAACTTTGTCAAAATTGTTTTTAAATAATTGAATTCTTTTGAGAAATTTTATTAAAATAGTAGAATAATAAAAATCATTGAATTGAGAAAATTTTTTGATAATAATTGAAATTTCGCCATGAATTTTATTAAAGTTTTTGAAAATAATTGAATTTTATTACTTTTAAGAATAATTGAATTCTTGTGACGAATACTATTACTTATGAAAACAATTGAATTTCGCAATGAATTTTATTAAAATTCCTGAAAATAATTGAATTTTGTCGAAGAATTTTGCTATTCAATTAAAAAGATAATTGAAATGTTGAAATGTTGTTGTCGCAATGAATTTTATTAAAATTCCTGAAAATAATTCAATTTTGTCGAAGAATTTTGCTATTCAATTAACCCTCCATCCGTCGCATGGTGAGAATTTCCCTCACCCAGCTTCTTTTTTTATTTATAACTTTTAAAATACAAAAAATTATAATTTCATATTCTCAGTACCTTTTACGGCACTCTTCTTCTTTACATTAAAACAATTTTGGTGTTTTTTTATATTTTAATTTCTTTGTTATTGAATTTGAAAGCAGCAAATGTCGGGGATTTTTGACGCGAAGTGAGGGAACTTCTCACCATGCGACTGACCGCGTATACTCGATTTCATTTGTCATTAATTTTTTATTTAAATAATTAACAGAAAATAAAAGTTAATTTTACTGCCAATAGGTTGTTTAGAAATTCTATTGAACATTCAAAAAAAAATTTGGCATTTTAGAACAAGTTTGGAATAATTTATGAGGGTGAGAATTTCTCTCACCTGCGACGGATCGCGTTACAAAAAAAGGTGCGACGGATGGAGGGTTAAAAAGATAATTGAAATGTTGACGACAATTTTTTTTGGATTCTTTGAAAATAATTGAATTTCTGCGAAGAATTTTATTAATTTTGAAAATAATTGAATGCTTGTGATGAATATTGATATTTATAAAAATTATTGAATTTTGCAATGAATTTTATAAAAATTTCTGAATATAATTGAATTTCGGCGAAGAATTTTGCTATTTTAGAAGATAGTTAAAATGTTGACGAGAATTTTTAAAAATTTTTTGAAAATAGTTGAATTTCTGGAAAGAATTTTAATGTTTATTAAGATAGTTAAATTCTTTCAAATAATTACGTTAAAATTTTTAAAATTGAAACTAATTTCAACAGAATTGAAATTAAAGTTTTTCAAAAAAAATACTTCATTAAATGATTTATAAGTAATAACTTTACGGCAGTTCTTCAATAAAATTAAGTTATTTAAAATAAATTATTGTCAGAAATAGAAAAAATTTAAGGTTTTTTTTTTAGAATTCGTGGTAATTTCCCTGTCACCTGTGGCAACCCTGAATAAAAATTAAATACAAACCCCAGTCTGTATCCGACATTCGCATAAACGATTTATCTCGTAAGATACCAGCATTATTAATGATAATATCAACGCGTCCAAATGCGTCAATTGCAGATTTCACGACTTTTTCACCGTCGACGACAGAATCGTAGTTGGCAACAGCTTTTCCTCCTGAAAGAATCGGGAAAATTTAGAAATTATCATCTGAATTTAGGAGAATTAATAGAATTTGTAATGGAAACAAACCGTTTCTTCGTATTTCGTCAACAACAACATCGGCCGCTTTTTTACTGCTTCCATCGCCATGTCGACCTCCACCCAAATCGTTAACAACCACGCTGGCACCTCTTGATGCAAGTAATAATGCATAAGCTCGCCCGAGTCCTGAAAATAATTAATTTTCTCAAAAGAATGTCGAGATTTATTTGTTTACTCTCTCGAAGTCCACAGATAGATATCTTATCAATTTTTTCTTAATACAGAAATAAACTTTAATGAACGTAGGCTAAAAATAACCCCTAATACAAAAAAAAGAATACAAAAAATTAAAAGAATACCAAAATTACTGAATAATGTAGAAAAATTACAAAATGTGTAAAATAAGGAAAATAAGTATAAGTGAAAGTTAAGGTTATGTAGCCAAATTTGTTTAACGATCGAAAAAAACGAATAAACTTCTTTTCTTCTAACCTAAATGAAATAAAAAAAATTCGCATATATTAAGACACTAAAAATTAAATTATACGCATTAAAAAATTAATACCTGCTCCAGCACCGGTTACAATCGCCACACGATCATCAAATCTCACTTTGTTCGACATTATTAAAATTTCTTCAAGAACCTGAGAAGTAATGTCTCCAGAAACAAGTCCCAATAATCAACTGCTGAAGGAATTTATAAATGACACTGCAAAATGTTAAATTACTTTATCGGCGCAAAGGTCAACATAAAAAATAAAAAAACAAAAGATAAGTGTTATTCACTTATTAACATTGACACAAATACACTTTCCTTTTTCCAATTACACAACAACAATGTTAATTAAAGACGGTTGATCCTTGTGAACTGATTACAAATATAGAACTGATTAAAATTTTTGTAATCTTTACTGAAAACACATTAAAAATAAGATTGTTTATTTATATTCTTCCTTTTAAAACTGACAGGTTAATTTGACACGTCGGCCATGACAGTTTTTCTCAACATATGATCTTGACTTTAACAGGCAGTGCCACCTGCTTCACTATTATTCAACCAATCAAAAACCTTAGCGCGAAAATTCAAAGTTTTTGTTAAAAATAAATTTCAAATGTGCTCCGAAATAAATAAACAAACATATTTTAAACAATTTGAAATTTAATTATATCTAAAAATTAAAAATATAAAACTTAAAATTTTATTATTTTCAAGAATTTTTAACTAAACATATTCTTTAAATCAATTATTATTTTTAATAATTTTCGGAAACTTTTTCGAGAATTCAATTATTTAAGTAAAACAGTTGAATTTTTTTATAATAATTGTTAATTGCAACACCTCGCGCATTCCTTTTAAAGTTATTAAAAGTAATTGTTTAAAATATTACGAAAATATTAAAATAATTCATTTTTAAAAAATTATTATTTAATTAATTACCTACCTAATTGTTATAAATAAATGAATTTAATAAATATTATTATTTTTAAAAAATTCTTAAAATTAGTATTTTAAAAATATGTTTAAAAATAATTTTCGATTTAAAATAATTTTTTACTTAGGTACAAATTTTTTTCTATTTTTTAAATTGAAACAACATTTCGAAATAATTGAAATTTATAGTAAAATTTGTTGAAAATAATTAGATTTATTAAAAGAATTGTTTTAAAAAATATTAAAAAATAATCAAGTTTTTGAAAGATATTAAAATTAATTGATTTCTTCAATAATAATAACAAAACCAATAAAAATAATTAAAAATTAATTCTATTAATTTAGAATGTTAAGATAAAATTTTTTTGAAATAAACCAATAATTATAGAAAATGAACAAAACTAGACAATTTTTGAAAATTTCACTACATTATTAATTTTATTATAGAGCCATAAGTTTCACAAATTTCTTATAAAATTACATCTAAAGACAATTTTTTTATTTTTATTTTAATAATTCACAATTTCGCATTAAGTATTATTAAATATCTCAAGAGATAAGCTATAATATTATTGACGAAAATCGCAGGAGTATTTAAAATCTTCTCTCGGTAAAAAATTTGTCAAAATAATAATATTTAATAATAACAATTTATCGAGTCTTGTTTTCATTCTTTTTTTTTCTTATATATTTACGAGACTTTTTATTTTATTCTGTAAAGACACCGGTTATTGTAAAATTATAATATCTTTAACAAAATTGTAATTTTTTTTTCTAAAGAGAAAAAAAAGAGAGAAAATCATATATATATTATATTATAATTTAGTAAAATTGTAAATTATAATAATTTCATACATTGAGTTAAAAATTTTACAATTTTATTATATATATTATATTGTATAAATTACTATAATATATATATAGAACTTACGTATATAAACAGAAATAAATATCAACAGTGATTCACAATACATAGAACCAATCGCATGATATTCTAATTATTACATTTACAATATTTATATATTAATATTTTATTTGCGGAAAAATCTTAATTGCAAAAATGGTTTCTAAGGGTAAAAAATAGCAATTCTAGTTTTGCGTGAATATTTTTTTTTCATTCACACTATTAAAATACTGATTGTATTAAAATTATGTACTATCGTTTATTAGGTACTGTTTTTTTTTTTTATTATTATTTTAATAATAACAATTATTATTGCTTATTATTCTTACCATTATGCATTATATATGTACGAAAGATCTCATTTTTTTTAAATTTCGCCTGAATTTTACCGATTGATATGTTACACACTTATTTTAATTTATAAAAAGTACTTTCACTTTTTCAATATATACTCGAATCCAGTTTTGCCATTAAGATTATTTTCCAAACAAAAATCAGTTTATTGCAAAAAAAAAAATTTTTTCTTTCGTTAACCAATTTGTCTCTTATTGTTAACAATAATATACAATAATTCGTAACATACGTAAAAATACGTTTATTGTAAAACAAAATTATAATTGAAAATATTCTCACAAAATTCAAAGCTCAAGCACATTAAAAAAAAAGAATAATAATAATAATCCCTTAGAGGATTGAGAAAAATAAATGATTTTACAAATAATACAAAGCAAGCAAAATCACATTTTTATATATGGAATATTTTTTTATATTTTTCGTATTTGAAATTATTTTCCTTTTGTGATAAACAATACACAATATCAAATTCTCTGTGAAATGATGATCACTATATATATATTATATTAATGTGTAAAAATTTACTACTATAATAATAAATATTGAGAATGCACACAGACTGCTGAAAATTATATTTGAAAAATCTCGAATCAAAATCTAAATTAGTGAAAAAAAATTTTTCCTTTTTAACTATATCACAGCCTGTAATATTATAATTCTGTTAAATTAAATAATAAAAAAATTGATGGATTTTTTTTTCTCTATAGTCACTAAAAAAATCACTGGAAATATTATCATTATTATTAATTATAATTCAAAATTTGCTAAATTCGTTTCATTTATATTAGAGAATAATGCTTCTTTCACTTAATTTCTTTTTGTTTTACAAAAATTTTTTCAAATTATTTTTGAATTTTGAAAAAAATAAAGTATTTTAAACAAAAATTTTTCTTATAATTTATAATATCATTTTTGTATGAAAAAAATTTTTTAATTGGGTCAAAATAAGTGAAACCGGCCACTTGAAAAATTTTTGTCCCCGAATTTAAAGTTATCTATGGTTTTTGATAGATATATGAGTAAACTTTTACCCGCTAAAATATTTTTCAAAAATTTTATTTATTTTGAAAGTTATCAGGTGTTAAACTTTTAGGTTACTTTTTATTCTTTTCATTATTACTCCGAAACGAATGAAGATAATTTCAATTTTTTTTTTGGAAATTAAAGCTAAAAGTCTGTAGTTTAAAGTGCAACTGAAAAAATTGCTGTATAATAAAAATTTCTAATTGTTATTAACAATTATTTTAAACAATTGCGATTTAAAGTATGTTCTCAATGTCGGAAAAAAATCAAACTATACTCATGTGATGCGCAAAACTCTAACGAGTAAATTAAAAAAAAAAAAAGTGAGTAACCTCTAAAATTACAGAAGTTATGCATATTTTTCTGACGACGCGCGGGAATTAACTGATTCGCAAACTCTCGAGCGCGCGGGAATACGCCCGCGCCCGCTCCCGCCGCACTGCTCACACTTGTGTTTTCAAACAATTTATGTTAACAGAGATGGAGAAGTAATTAAAATATTATTTTCTTACTGAATAGTTTATTAATATTTTTACTTTTGGAGTAATTATATACATAAAAACCATTTTGTATGTACTCATAAACTGCTTTGCAGTTTTTATGCTTTGATAAAAAACTTTTTTCGTGGGTCTGATATTCTTGAATCGTACAAAAATCGAAATCGATATTGTTTGTGTAGAATTTCATCAAAAAATTTTTTAAATAATTGGATTTCTAAATAAAATAATTAAATCATTTGTCACTTCTCCAAAATTCAATTTTTATTAGTGTTTTAACTGAAATTTCTTCTATAAATTCGCTATTTTTAATAATTTATTATTTCTTAAAATTGTATTCCCATAAAGAATTTTATTAACAAATTTTTAAATAATTGAATTCTTTGAACGAGTTTTAATAAAATGTTTAAGAATAATTACATTTTTCGAGGAATTCGATTATAATTGTACACGGAGAAAAATATAAAGTAACTTTTACTACTTTTATAGTAAAACATTTCTGATAACTTTTACTACTTTCGGAATAAATTTACTCCGAAAGTAGTAAAAATTATTTGACTAATTTTTAGTAGTTTTCATGGACGACTTTTCCCCTTTTCAATTAGTAGAATATTACTAATTCTTAGTAAAATTTTACTAATGTTTTAGTAGAAATTCACTAATTAAAAGTCACTCATTTCACTAAATGAATTAGTAAAACTGTTTTATCGACTATTAATAAAACAGTTCTACTAATTGTTAGTAGAAATCTACTAATCAATTAGTAAAATTCACTATTTGTTAGTAATATATTACTAAATCATTTGGTGCACGACTTTTTGCCATTTCATTAGTAACTTTCTACTAATTCAGATTTAGAGAGTGCGTTTACAATTTTCATAAATAGATGAACTTACAAATGATTGCAAAAATTCAATTATGATAACAATTTTTTTTAAATTATCGTCAACATTTCAATAAACTTAATAAATAATAAAATTCTTCTCCGAATATAAGTTATTTTCAGAAGTTTTCCTCAATTCAATGATTTTCAAAATCTACTATTTTAATAAAATTTTCTAAGAGAATTCAATTATATTAAAAAATAATTTTAATACCTACAATTCCAGGCAAAAATTTAATTATTATTTATTATTAAGAAATAATAAATTATTAAAAATAGCGGATTTATAGAAGAAATTTCAGTTAAAACACTAATAAAAATTGAATTTTGGAGAAGTGACAAATGATTTAATTATTTTATTTAGAAATCCAATTATTTAAAAAATTTTTTGATGAAATTCTACACAAACAATATCGATTTCGATTTTTGTACGATTCAAGAATATCAGACCCACGAAAAAAGTTTTTTATCAAAGCATAAAAACTGCAAAGCAGTTTATGAGTACATACAAAATGGTTTTTATGTATATAATTACTCCAAAAGTAAAAATATTAATAAACTATTCAGTAAGAAAATAATATTTTAATTACTTCTCCATCTCTGTTAACATAAATTGTTTGAAAACACAAGTGTGAGCAGTGCGGCGGGAGCGGGCGCGGGCGTATTCCCGCGCGCTCGAGAGTTTGCGAATCAGTTAATTCCCGCGCGTCGTCAGAAAAATATGCATAACTTCTGTAATTTTAGAGGTTACTCACTTTTTTTTTTTTTAATTTACTCGTTAGAGTTTTGCGCATCACATGAGTATAGTTTGATTTTTTTCCGACATTGAGAACATACTTTAAATCGCAATTGTTTAAAATAATTGTTAATAACAATTAGAAATTTTTATTATACAGCAATTTTTTCAGTTGCACTTTAAACTACAGACTTTTAGCTTTAATTTCCAAAAAAAAAATTGAAATTATCTTCATTCGTTTCGGAGTAATAATGAAAAGAATAAAAAGTAACCTAAAAGTTTAACACCTGATAACTTTCAAAATAAATAAAATTTTTGAAAAATATTTTAGCGGGTAAAAGTTTACTCATATATCTATCAAAAACCATAGATAACTTTAAATTCGGGGACAAAAATTTTTCAAGTGGCCGGTTTCACTTATTTTGACCCAATTCTAAAATAAAATTTTTGTGTGTGAAAAAACTTTGAAATGTACAAAAATCGATATTCACTAACAATATAAATTACTTTCTAGAGTTTTCTTTTTCTTTTCCATTTCCTTTTTTCTTTTTTTTTTGTATTAAAAAAGATTGATCCTATCTAATGCTTTCTATAATAGTAAATATTGACATACTATTTTCGAAAAACTACAAGGAAAAAAAATTAAATTATTCATAATTATGCTTGACATTTACAAGAAGATCTAAATACGATTGTACTTTTCTTTTTTGATTTTGGTCTTAATCTTTTAATGCAACAGTTTTGTTGTTAATATGCTCATTTTACATAATAACATATAGTGTTAACAAAAAAACATAATTACAAAACGAATCAAGACAAACGTTCATTTCTTATTTGCTTTGAAATTAAAGAGAAAGAAACATTTGCTTTTTATCGTGCACAATATAAATAGTTTTTTTTTTTTGAGATCTTTGTCCCTTTTCTGTTTTTAGTTTAAAAAAAAAATTCGATATTACGTGTATGTGATTGCATTTTCCTTTTGTTCTTTCAATTATTTTTAAATATACACACATTTTTGCAGATTTACAAAAAATGGAATATATAGCAGTTGAATCACTGGAGATGAATTAACATATTTCTTGAAATTTTTCTATTTTTCTAGTTTTCTATTTTACTATTTTTCTATTTCATATTACAATTTATCGTGATGTCAATAAATTTCTAATTATCACAATCGATGTGACAAAATATAATATTTTATATATTAAATAAATACATTTGAAAAAGCTAATTTTATTCGACTTGGAATATATAATTAAATTTCTAAAATTATAAAGGAAAATAGAGATTATTTTTTTTTCTAAATTTATCTATAATCTTAGTCATTAATCACTCAATGTGTTTCGAATTTAAATCAAAAAATTTTAAGTCATGATTCTCGATTCTTAGACAACTATAAAAAAAAAATTATAATAATAAGAATTACAAACAACAAAATTAAGAAATTCGATATTTTATAATAAAAATAACGAAGAAGAATGTAAAAAATTCTTTTTTCGAATATTTCTCAATATACATTGCATTTTTTGTAATTCCTATAACAAAATACACGTAATATTATTGTGTAAATGACAATAAAACAAATATATTATACACAGTTTTAAAACCTTATATACTTTTTAAAGTAAACCTGGCAGTAATAACGAATATTATTTAAATTTTTTGTATATATATATATAATTATAATAATAATCATAAAAATAATAAGAGCAAAATAACCGTTATTGAAGCTTATTTGCATTTGAAAAGGAAAAATTGTATTTCACAAAATTTGATTTATTTTTTACTTTTTGGTAATGAATTTTGCGATTTTTCTTTCAAAATTCCGAACAAATAAGAAAATTTTATTTTAAAGACAAATTAAAAAATTGTAAATTCAACGTGAGCTTTATTATTAGAATTTCAAATCTAATTATCGATTTATTAGCACGTAAGGCTTTTTTCAATTTACAATTATTAAATTAAATTATCAAATTAAAAATAAAATTTAAAATGTATTCAAAATAAAATGGAGAATTAATTTCCCCAAAAATGTTGATTGTCCTAAAATACAATTATTGTACGTTTTTATATTCTTAATTTTAGTTATTTTTTTAAATTTTCAATTGAATGATTCTACAAAAAAAATTAAATTTTAAAAATATTCGAATTAAACATTTATTCAATTGTTAAATTTTCAAAACCATCTAACTTTACAAAAATAATTCTTAGAGAAGAGAAAAAGTGAATAATTGAATTAAAAAATTTGATTTTTTGACACAATTATTTTTTTTCTGTCTTTAAAAGAAATAGATTCAAATTTGAAATTTTTATTTCTTATTTGTTCCAAACAATTAAATATAATTGAAATTAAAAAAATTTTTACTTTAAAATATTAGAATTAAATCTCCTAAGAAAGTAAATTATCCAAAAATACAATTTATTGTACCATTTTTATTTTTCAATTCAATTATTTTAATTGACTGAATAAATTTATAATTTTTTTGTGATGAGATTTTTGAAAAAACTAAAAAAAAACCGAAAATCTAAAAAATAAAACAAATTTATAAAATCATAATTGAATTTAAAATTTTAATTTTCGAAAACATTTTAGGAGAAATGAAATCTCTAAAAATGTATAGAATATTTAAAAAATAAAATTAGGTATTGTTCAATTTTATATTTTTAAAATTTAGTTATTTTTTCATTTCATTCTCATTCATCAAAAAATAAAATAATTGTTCAATTTTAATTAAATCAATATACAAAAAAATTAAATTTTTAAAAATTATATTCTTTTTAAAAATTCGTTGAATTCTACATCAATTGAATTTTCAAAAAAATCTAATTTTACAAAAATAATTTTTAAAGAAGAGAAAAGAGAATTAATAATTGAATTTAAAAATATTAATTTTTTAAAACAATTTAATTCGAAATTTTTTATTTATTTGTTCAAAAAAATTAAATTGAATTCAAGTTATGAAATATAATTTTTTAAAACAGCTTTTTTCTGTTTAACTTTAAAACAAATAAATTCAAATTTGAAATTTTTATTTATTATTTGTTCAAAACAATGAAGTAAAATTGAATTTTAAAATCTATTTTTTTAAATATTAGAAGAATTCTCGGAAAATTTACTTTCTTAGAGGATTTATCTTCTAAGAAAGTAAATTTTCTAAGAATACAATTTTTTTGTATTCTTTTTGTTGTACAATTTTTTTTTTTGTTTTAAATTCACCTTTTTTTCATTTTCATTTAAATTAAATGAGAATGCAAAAAAAGATTTGAATTTTAAAAATATTTCTACTAAAACTTAGTTAAATTCCAACAATAATTAAATTTTAAAAAATATTTTTTGACGAAGAGAAAAACTATAAATTGATAATTGAATTTAAAAAATTTAATTTCTTTCAAAAAACTCAATTTTTAATTTCTTATTTGTTCAAAACAAATATTAAATTTAAAAAATTTAATCTTCTAAAACAATTCTTTGAAATGTTTTATTTTCTTATTTGTTCAAAACAAAATATTGTTGCCATGAAAAGCAATTTTATAGATTATGCCAGTAAAAGAAAAATAAATCAATTTTGAGATTCTTCCTTTTCGTTTGAAAAAGGAATGCGACAATAATATGTAAGCAAAACTTATTCACTTTTTGTAATGCAAAAAATCGCAATCTTTAACATTATCAAACAATGTTAGTGATCAAATATATTATATACTTTTTATTTTTTATACACACGCACATTTAACGTGAAATGGGTGGTCACGACGCGAAAAATTGTTGCAAGCGTTGCACTGTCCTTCGATCTAAAGCGCAAAGATCAAAGTCAAATGTTTTCTTTGTAACTTCATACTGGCCTGTTTCAGCAATAACCTCGACAAGTCTCTGCAATTCCTGATTATCCTCGATCGTCATTATTTTATGCTGCAAATCCTTTAATTGCGAAACATATTCTTGTGAGAATGAGGAAGTATCGGCAGTTGTTTCGGGTTCAACAAGGGTTGAATTTGTTGAATCGGGCGCAACTTGTTCGCCCTCGCCCTCACTTCCCTTGCCTGTTGATGATTGTTTCCTCGAGGCAGCACCATCTTCCTTCGGGACTTTTTGATGAACAGTCTCCATATCGACGGCAATTGGCGATTGACTCGATGACACTGGTTCGACAAGTGGCGAGGCCGATTGATCTCTCTCCTTTTTAATAGCACGCTCATCGTCGCCTTTACTTTCGCTTCTTCTTTTTCGTTTCTTCGTCTCCTTGTCCTCACGATTGCCCTTTGATTTATCACGTTTTGTTCGATCGCTACGATTTTTCTTATCACTAACAGGCGGTGGGGACATGATTGGTTTTGATTCGTTGGAAACAGTTGGAGTTAGGACAGGTGGTTCTTTTTTAACAGGGGGAATTATTTTTGGTTCTGTTATAATGGGTTCGTCGTCAAGTGAAGGGGCTGAATCACTGCTATCTCTATCGGGCATTTCGGCCAGGAGAGTGGAAAGAGGATTCGTTGTCACTGGTGCTTGAATTGGGGCATTATTTGATTTTTCACTTGAACTTCTATTTTTGTCACGTTTCTCCTTTTTGTCTCTTTCTTTACTGCCATCACGTTTATCTTTCTTTTCACGCTTTTTGTGCTTACTTTTGTGCTTCTCCTTTTCTTTATTGTCCTTGGATTTTTCCAATTTTTCGGTTTTTTCGATTTTCTCTAATTTTGGGGGTTTTTCCTCCTTGGGGGGTTTCTCGATTTCCTTGATTGGTTTGGGTGATTTTCTTCCATCTTTCGACTGTTTGAATTCTTGGGGTTTTTCCTTGTCGATCTTCTCGGGTTTCTCGGGTTTTTCAATTTTCTTTTCGACTGTTTTTGATTCTTTGGAATCTTTACTCTTGTCACGTTCTCTGTCCTTGTGCTTATCTTTCTTCTCCTTTTCCTTGTCCTCTTTATGCTTCTTTTTGTCCTTTTTTTTCTCGGTTCGGGAATCGTCGGATGTATTTTTAGATGTTTCTTTTATTTTATCCTTTTCTTTTTCCTTGTCCTTTTCTTGGGGGACTTTTTTCGATTCCTTTTCGCGGGGTTTTGGAGATGGTGGTCGTTTCGATGGTTGTGACGGTGGAGGAGTTGAGGGTTTTTTTATTGGGGAAGGTGAAGTGGGTCTCTTGGTTCCTGGACTCGTGTTGTGACCACTTTTATTTGTTGGACTCTGCGATTTTTTGGATTTTTCTTTATTTTTCTCTTTTTCCTTGGATGATTCTTTGTCCTTTTTCTCCTTTCTTTCGTCGGAGGTTTTTTCCTTTTTTCCATCCTTGTGCGGACTGTGCTTTGCCTTTGAACTTTTATCACTTTTTTCGGGTTTCTCCGAGGATGAGAGTTTTGTACTGCTTGTTTTTTCCGATGTTGATGATGATGATGTGGACGACGAGGAAGGTTTCTTCGTGTCGGGGGAGACTTTCGTTCCCGCAGTCTTTATTGGAGGACCGAATAAATCAGCGAAAGCATTTGATCCCTTCGGTTCTGACATTCTATACTTCTTCCCCTCGGTCCCACTTAATTTAGGTTTACCTACCATTAGAGGAGCTGCTTTACTTTTCTCGGGTGTTCCTTCTGAATTAGTTACCATGACCTGCAGAAAATAATAATTGTCACAAAAAGAAAATTCAAATAATTTCTTTAATTTTAATTTCTACAAAGAATAACCGAAAACTTACGGCTCCACCTTTGAGGAGTTTTTTCCTAAATTCGTCATTGGGATTAGGAATATTTTCACTATGTAACAGAACTTTATTTATCGCTGGACCACTGGGTTGAAGATTCAAGTCGTAGGAAATATGAAACTTCTTTGGTTCATCCTTGTTTTTTAGATAAACGGAAATTGGAATTTCGAATCCGGCATAGCCCGATTCTTTCACTACATAAGGTGGCTCTCTCAAGACTCTTTTTGGCTTAGGAAATGTCTCGTGAAGTTGAAAGACAACTGGAAAAGAAAATATCAAATTAGTGAATATAAAATGCACAAATTCCCGCTTTTTTCACCAAATATTTTTTTTTATTTACAAAATATTTCATAACTTTTTTTAAAAATTTATTCCGAACAAAAATTGCGTTTATTTTACACATTCTGAAAATATTTATTCACTTGATAACAATTCCATTCTATTACTAACACACACACACACACACATTCGCATATATACAATCAGTTTGATTAGAAGAAAAGGAATAAAACATTATTACAAAAAACGATAAAATGTTTTTTCTGTAACAATAAAATTTCTTTCTGTTTTACCAAGAAAAAGAAAAATTGTGCTAAAAATTCAACTAGAATCAATAAAAAAAATTTTTTTATGTTTCGTGTCACATCAAAAAGTGAAAAATGTGCTAATCACACTTATTGCAAAAATTGAATTTTTAAAAATCTATCAAAATGCGTGAATAGTGAAATGTGAAAGTCGTGTGATTTAAATCTGATAAATCACAAAAAAAGAATAAAATGATTTAAAAATCAAAATTTTTATTTAAAAACCAAGACGATAAAGTTTTTAAAATTAACAGTTTACTTATCTGAAAAAATTTAGTTTTCTATAAACTCTGAAACTTTAGGCAAGTTAAATGATAGAAAAAAAAGAAGGAAGAGTAGAAGAGAAACTATATTTATCTCTCGATCCAGGGGGTGGCAATTATTTCCATTTTGACCCACATTTGTATTCGAATTTTTTTTTAATAAAAAAAAGGAAGGAAAATTATTTTCTAAAAATAAAGAATTGAAGTTCACAATATTTTTTGCAAATTTAAAGTATGAATTAATTACCAAGACAAAAATACAATAATATAAATATTAATTAATGTAGGAAATTAGGAATTAAATTATAAAGCGATAAAAATTGATTTATTGGTGTGACGAATTTTTTTCATCGTTAAAAAAATTTTCAATGTTTATTGATATTATCAGATTTAAGTCACGCTTGCACGCATTTATCTCCAAAATATTCTTGTTTAACCTTTTTATTTGCATAAATAAATACCTTTTAATTATTATTTATGAAGTGTTGAACGCAGTTATTAGTTTTTCAATGTTACTTTTTGTGTTGTTTCAATTACTGCAAACTGGTTCTAGGAGTTACTCAAAATTAATTTTATATTTTATAAAATTGACACAAAATTTACTAGTAAATTAATTAAAAATATTCTATGTTTGAATTTTCTAACAAATGTATGAATTTATAATGAACCAATAATTTTTTTAAATAACTAAAAAAGACTAACGGTTTTTAAATTTCTCTTAAAATAACATGAAAATTTATAAATTCATACAAAAATTTAAAATGCAGATTAAATGAAATGAATTTTTGTTTCAATATTCAATTAATATGTACATAATTTAAATATTGTCTTTAAAAAAAGTAAACACCCCCAAAATTTATTAAAATTGTTTTTCCCACATACACTGTGTTGAAAATGTAACATTGATTTAAAACACTAGAAAAAAAGGCTTTATTCTTTCATTATAAATTAAGAAGTAAAAAATAACGTTAATTATATGAAACAATATTTACCTAAACCATAAAAATAATATAATAGCCCATATGTTTCCGAAATCAATGATTTAAAAGCAAAAGAAACAAATCAACGTTAAGATCAAATTTCACAAGTACTTCCTATTCGATTGTTTTATACAGTGTATTGAAATAAAACGTGGCACTAAAATATAAATGATTATTAGAGAAATTAGAGATTTAATTGCTTCAATGATAATTTGAATTTGATAAAAAAATATTAACCTAAATACTGTTTTTTTATGTAATGTGATAAAATGTATATGTAAAAAAAAATGCATGAAGGTAAATAAACAAACAATAAATAAAACTCTACCTTTTTCAATGTATTGATGAATTTCAGCATTGTCAACCCCTCGTACAAAAACTTGCCAATCGTGCGTATAACCTTCTGGAGTCCTTTGGGCACGTAATTCAGATGTATGGCCACACTCGAGAGTTACACGCATTGCCATTCTCCCTCAAAAATTAGTGAATTAATTATGCTTTGAAAAAAAAATTAAATCAACGATCGTGAACTCTTTTCTTTGAATAGTATCTTTCCATTACACCAAATAAAGCACAAAATTATTCATTCACAGATCATTAAACTATCAAATTCCATCAAATTTATCAATTTTTTATGTAAATAATTTCTATCCATTAATTGTTAATGAGAAAATAAAAAAATTACACTATGCACTTGATTTAAAGTACACACAAGCTGACATAATGCGCTCCTCTGATTCTATTAAGTGTCGTTGAGTTGAGAGTACATTTTCTTTTTGACACGAATCCTGTATGAAAATTATGTTTAGCGAATTAATTGTTAATATAATTTCACGAAACGCGTTCATTAGAAGATTTCAAAAGAACGAGACTAGCACGAGTTGCGTAATATTTTGTTTGAAAGCGACCAAGAATGTCAACAAGTAAACTTTTATCAGCAAGAATCAGCCGCCATCACTGCTTCTTAAATTATGACTGATTGATAATGAACGATTGCAGCGCCACTGTAAACTGATAGTGATGTCAACAAGAAGCGCTTTTTTTTAAATGCGCAAGCGCTATTTAAAATGACTATTTCTTTTTATTGTTGATTGAAAATAAAAGAATGTTAATAATTTGATTGAACAATTAGTTGACAATTATTTTTAACTATCTTGAAATAACAATAGTTTGGTAATAATATGATATTTTTTGCGGAATTTTTTTAAGAAAATCAAATATTTTTTTTTCTCTTTTATACAAAGTGCGCCATTTTCAACCAATTGGAATCGCTTGACCCTTTTTTCGCGCTTGCGCAATTAAAATGCAATTAATTATTGACATCATTAATTATTTTTGGCGCAATTGGTATGAGGTTATTAAATTATTAATTTAATGCATTTAATGATTTACAACTTTTCGTAAAATATTTCAACTATTCGAAGATACTGTGTTTTTTAGAAATCGTAGAAATATTTCTAAGATAAGAAATTCTGGTAATTTAACTATAAGTGAAAAATAATAATTTTCTACATTATCGGTACAACTATTATAAAGTAATTAAAATTTTCCGCAAATGAAATTAAAATTAAATTAAAATATTTTTTAAGATGGGTTATAAATGAGATTAAATAAATACGACAGTAGAATGAGTGTTTATTTTTTTGGTTAACTTAGAGAAAATAGAAACAGGATGAAATCGGAAAATTGTGTTACACTGTAAAAAAGTTTTCTTTTTTTTTATACAATCATTTCAAGTTCCCTGGCATAATCAATTGCAAGTGTTGCTAAATCAGAACTTGGTATTGGTTCCTCGGATTTCTTTTCACTTGGAGTACTAAAGTGAAAGTGTCCGTCTTTAGATAATTTCCAATTTTTCTTTGTCGCAAAGGCCATTGTATCTTTTTCTGCATTTAAATTTAGCATTCTCGATGCATCTTTCACGGAAATTTTATCATACGCACTCTCCATGCAGGCACCAATTTCATCGCGTACAGTATTCAAAAGAATATCGATGAAAAAATTGTACGACGTCGCTGGTACATTTCCCTTGGCAAGGAAAATTTTATTATACGAACCCTCCATTAAACATTGCTCTAAACTCAATGGATGTCTAATGTAGACATTCGATTGAATTTGATCAGAGGGCAAGAGTTCTAATTCTGTGTGAAATTCAGCCACTCGATTTTGCGACAATAAAAACAGGAGATTCAATCCAAGCAATTGATATTTATAGGCTGACTCGGATAATTTTGATTTATAATCGAAATAGTAGCATTTTAATTGAGCCATGTAACGTTCAAATGAAGGAATATCTTCCATTGCTATACTCCATTGTACTCCAATCTCGAGAATGTCACCTGCGAAACAATTCTTTTGTTATTAAAGAAACAATACCTATTTTTAGTTACAAATTCAATTACAAATTCAACTTACGTTGAATTTTTTAACTAAAATCGAAATCCCTTTTTTCAGTAAAATATTTTATGATTATAAAATATTAAAAATTTTAAAACCAATTAAAAAACTTTAAGAACTTCTTTTTTCTAAAAGTTGTAAACACGTTTGTTTACAAATAGAACAATTTTTTTAATTCTGGGAATATAAACTAAATAAAGGAGTTTAAAAATATACTTACGTGCAATAAGTAATTCCTTTTGTGACGCATTATTATTTGAAGTGGGTAAAAATGTTAAATGAGTTAATCCAACCTGAAATAAAAATAACACTCCATAAAATATCCAAAACTTGTGAGTCATTGACAAACTACATGACAATTTTTTTACGAAATTTATCGGTAAACCTATTTAAAAAAAACCCCAGAAAATATAGATTTAAAACAAAGCTGTGAAATTATAAATATAAAAGCAGTTTGTAAAAACAAAATGCCTTTAAATGGAACATGACAATTCATTTTGACAGTCTGAAAAGTGAGGTTAAGTTCACAGAAAATGTACCCAAAGGATAATTTCAAAATTCTATGAAGATTGACATACCTTTAATTGATTAAGTAATTCACCGCATTTTTTTAAATTACACGGAGTTTTCGTCCATTCTTGTTTTAAATTTTGATACAAAGAGGTTACATCTTTTAACGCCGCCATATTTAATATTTCTGCCTCTGTTTTCGGTCCACTTCCCACTCTCCTACTGGATCCAATGCTACCAATGCATGACAATTTTCTCAGCTTTTTCATTTTCTCAAAAACGAACAAATATTTTTCTTTAGATAATAAAAAGAAATGGGTTTAAAATCCGAAATTTCACTCTTATAAATTTTTGTTAATATTCTTTCATCAATCTGAAATTATTAACTTGCGGAATTCAATTGTTTTTGTCCATTTTGGCAACAGTGTAAACACGTCCACCAATCAGATGTTTCTAAACACTGGAAGAAGATTTACGCGCCATCTACAGTACACTTTTCTTAATAAATAATCAACTAACATTTGGAATAAATTACTTAAATTAATTAATTTAAATTACAATTATTGATCATCGTGTGATTATTTTAATATAAAGGATTAAAAAAAGGATTAAAATTAATAGTTACGAGTTTATAGACCGGGATTTCGGATAATTTTTTCAAAAATCGCTCCTTAACCTAACTTTTTTGTTCAAAAATCAGGTGTCACTCCGAGCGGTGAATTCGGTGAATTGATGCAAGGGGGAAAGTGTGTAGATAATGCAGATTGCAGTGAAGAATAAACCATAGAACAAAGTAGATCTTACCGGCCTTCAATTTCCTCTTCCTGTAGACTACTGTAAACGTTGCAATGGCGTCTGGTGTAAGTGTAGTCCACGCGACTTTTTCATCCATTAACATCGCCATCAAAATGCATCTTTCACGATGTTGGAATGATGGACGATTCTTACTGAAGAATAGCACATTTAAAGTGACTTCTATTTCTTTCAGACTCTATACACATACCCGGAGAATTTCCGTGCCTACAAGGCCCTTATTGCTGCCCAATTCTCTGGGGCCCAGGTCAAGATCGCTGACAATTTTGTCTTTGGTGTTACCAATAAATCCAAGGATTTTTTGAAAAAATTCCCCCTTGGCAAGGTAATTATTATTTTACTATTAATTTTTCTCTTAATAACTAACACATAATTTTCTCATTTCTCATATTCTTACATACTTTGAAACCAGATTGTAGATTTTTAAATATTCCTGTTGGTGTTTTAACTGTTTTTTGGAAATTTTTTTTATGTTTTATCATTTAGTTTCCGTTTAGTTTAGAGTACTTGATTGAATGGAATTTTATATTTAGAGAGATTGTTTAGTTTCCGAAAAATTGTACTCAATTTCCTGGCATACTTACGTCAGAATTATGCTACTATATAGTTTTGTAAAGTATTGAAAATTTGTCTCGATTCATTGTTTCGAAGTAATCTTCTTAAGTTTTAATTTTAATTTATGAAAATAGAAATTTTTAATAATTATAATTATCGATTATCTGGGCTTACGTGTATTTATTTATAGATTTCGAGGCTGTTCTTAACATTTTATGTATTTGTTTGGAGATTTAAATTTTAAATGGACAGTTAATAAAGTAGGAACAATAGACTAGAATTTGTTTTGTTTTGTATTTTATTTTAAGGGTTTACATGTAATTGTAAATATTTTTACAATACTGTAAATGTAAATTACACGTAGAATAAAATAGCAACTAAAATAAAAAATTTGAATTTAAGGTGCCAGCTTTCGAGACCAACGATGGAAAATGTCTGACTGAAAGTAATGCCATCGCATACTATGGTAAGTTCAATTTTTAATTGATTCCCTTACAATTTTCATTATTAATTAATTTTTATTCTATTTAATTCGTTTTGCTTATTTTATGTATTTATTTTGCTGATTTAAAATTTTATTTTTAATTTAAAATTTTATTTTTTCAATTTTACAACAATTTTTAAAAATACTTTTGTAAATAGTGGCAAACGAACAACTCAGAGGAAAGACAGATCTGGAGCGAGCAGAGGTTATTCAATGGTTTGGATTTGCTGATTCTGAAATTTTGCCAGCCAGTTGTGCGTGGCTATTTCCCTTGCTAGGAATTATGCAGTACAACAAGCAGGTATTTATAATTTCATTAATTGTATTTTTTTTTTTAGAAACTTTTTTATAATATAATAATAGTAATAATCTCCTACAAAGGCGAGCTGTGAAAATTTTCCATTTTATCGTTCGTAACGAACGGAGAAAAAGTAATTAAGGCAGGCATAATAAATATCTAAACTTTCTCTTGGATGTTATTTATACGTTTGCATACAAATGTATTTTTTTTAATTTACATTTTTATTTTCGAGTATCTCTTCTTTTCTTTTTGCACCATTTACAGTTATTTTTGTCTTTTTTTCTCAGGCTGTGGAGAATGCAAAAGAAGATGTGAAGAAGGCATTGACTGCTTTGAATACACATTTGCTCACGCGCACATATTTGGTTGGAGAACGTTTGACCTTGGCTGATATTAGTGTGGCAATGACACTATTGAATCTCTATCAATACGTTTTGGAGCCAAGTCAACGCAAGCCTTACCAGAATGTTAACCGATGGTTCCAAACCGTTATCTATCAACCAGAATCGATTGCCGTGATTGGTGCCTTTAAATTGGCTGATAAAGCTTTGGAATATGACCCCAAGAAATTCGCCGAGAGCCAAGGAAAGGTGAGTTGCTTTTTTTCGCTTGTAGACAAAAGTATTGAAATGACTAAAAAGTATTTTTAATTTCAAAAACTAAAACATAAAAAAAACTAAGTTTAAACTAAGTTTTAAATTTAAAAAAAAACTAAGTTTTTAATTTTAAAAAATAAAAAATAATAACCAAAAAACTGAAAAGTTCCTAAAAGACGAAATAATAAATTATTTCTAAAGACTAAAATGTATAAAACTATTTAAAGAGATTTTTTTTTTGAGAAAATTGCTAAATTTCAATTTGATTGCTAGACGGCCAAGAAGGAGAAGAAAGAGAAGGAGCCCAAGGAACCTAAGGAACCTAAGCCCAAGAAGGAGAAGGAGAGTGAACCAGCAGAGGAACTTGACGCTGCTGATGCTGCATTGGCAGCTGAACCCAAGAGTTCCAATCCATTTGACGCCATGCCGAAAGGCACTTTCGACATGGAAGATTTCAAACGTTTCTATTCAAACGAAGACGAAGCAAAATCTATTCCTTACTTCTGGGAGAAATTCGATCCCGCAAATTACAGTATCTGGTTAGGCGAATACAAATACAACGACGAATTGACGAAGGTACAAAAATAACCAATTCCCTTCAGAAACGAATTTACAATTTATAATTTTAAAATTCCATAAATCTTGTAATTCCAATTTTTCTGATTCGACAATAAACTTTTGGATAATTTCTCTTTTTTATAGAATAATAATAATTTTTACAATTTTCAGGTGTTCATGTCCTGTAACCTTATTGGTGGAATGTATCAACGTTTGGATAAAATGAGAAAGGCTGCATTTGCCAGCGCCTGTCTGTTCGGTACCGACAATGACAGCACCATCAGTGGAATTTGGGTCTGGCGTGGTCAGGATCTCGCTTTCTCGGTAATTAATTCTTCCAAATGTTCAAATTCACTCGAACTCAAGTTTTACCAACACTTCGATTTTCTATTAGTATTTTTTTAGTCTTTCATTTTAGTTTTGTGTTTAAAAATAAAAATTTTCTTTGCAGCTGTGTCCAGATTGGCAAATTGATTATGAATCATACAGCTGGAAGAAATTGGATCCTTCAGCGCAAGAAACGAAGAACTTGGTGAAACAATATTTTAGCTGGTCAGGCACTGACAAAGATGGACGTAAATTTAATCAAGGAAAGGTTTTCAAATAAAAAAACAAAACTCTTTAATTAGACTTTTCATAAATGAGATCCGTATATTGCTGAAAGAATAGAAGACGAAAAAAAAGAAAGATACACTCTTAATACTGTAAAAACACAAATTTCGAAAAAAACGAACTTACGGATCTTCCAAGACACAGAACACACACAAACACCCATTTTATTCCTCATTAATGTCCAATTCTACATGTTTAAATTCTATTTTGCTACGAGTTTGTCACGCGTAAACTTAAGCTCGAAGTTATGTCCTCGGTTATCATTTAAATGTATAAAAAAAAGAATAGAACGTCTTTTCCTTTTTTTGATTATGATAATATTTTCCTTTTTCTCTTCAATCACAGTTCGTTTAATCGTTTAGACTGATCAGTCAAAAAACAGATCATATTCTTTAATTTTTTTTTCATTTATTAGAAGCAGACAATTATACTGTGCAATGTGTTATTTATTGTTGAAAACTACAATTTTGTTTTAGCGACGCATTCTATTGAGATTTGGACGTTTTGTCGAGTGAGACACGTTACGTTGATTTTATCGATCTGCGATTTTTGTATGTCAGTAGTGAGAAAAAAAAAATTAAATATCGAAAAGTCTGAATGGCATTTAAATCTATATGCATTTTTTTTTATATCCATTAACTTTTTAGGATAAAATCCGCTTTTTTAGAATATTTTTTAAGAATAAATAAATGAATAAATAAATAAATTAGGTAATTAATTCATATTATTAAATTATATTCATTAAAATTACTAATTCGTATGATTCAATTATTTTTGATTAATCAGAGTTTCCAGAGGTTAGGGAAATCAGGGAAAAGTCAGGGATTTTTATTAAAAGTATTGGAAAAAATTAAATGTTTAGAATTTATAAGAAAATTCTGCTTTTTTGTGTTTTTGCTTGTCTCATAAACTATGAAATTATCACGAATTCTAAAAAAAACTTTCAATTTTTTCTATTTTTGACAATAATTTATTTTAAATAACTTAATTTTATTGAAGAACTGCCGTAAAGTTATTACTTATAAATTATTTAATGGAGCATTTTTTTTTGAAAAAGTTTAATTTCAATTCTGTTGAAATTAGTTTCAATTTTAAAAATTTTAACGCAATTATTTTAAAGAATTTAACTATCTTAATATGTAAATATTAAAATTCTCTCCAGAAATTCAATTATATTCAAAAATTTTTTAGAAATTCTCGTCAACATTTTAATTATCTTTTTATAGCAAAATTCTTCGCTGAAATTCAATTATATTCAGGAATTTTTATAATATTCATTGTAAAATTCAATTATTTTCATAAATAACAATATTCATAACAAGCATTCAATTAATTTCAAAATTATTTATTTATTTATTTCATATAAACGGGTTTATAAAATTAATTAATAAAATTCTTCGCAGAAATTCAATTATTTTCAAAGAACCCAAAAAAAAATTTGTAACATTTGAATTATCTTCATAATTGAATAGCAAAATTCATCGACAAAATTCAATTATTTTCAGGAATTTTAATAAAATTCATTGCAAAATTCAATTGTTTTCATAAATAATAGTATTCATCACAAAAATTCAATTATTCTTAAAAGTAATAAAATTCAATTATTTTCAAAATTTTTAATAAAATTCATGGCAAAATTTCAATTATTTTCAAAAATATTTCTTAATTCAATTATTTTTAATATTTTACTATTTTAATAAAATTTCTCAAAAGAATTCAATTATTTAAAAACCATTTTGACAAAGTTCTAAACAAATATTCAATTATCTTCAAAAATAATTAAAATTTCACAGGAATTTAATTATTAAAAATAGAATTTGCTCACATTTTTTCGAAAAAAATCAATTGTAAACTTTTTTATAAAATTCTTCGCAATAATTCAATTATTCTCATAAATAAAAAAACTCATTGCAGAACTTAAATTATTTTTAATACAATTTTAATCAAATTCCTCAAAAAATGTAATTATTAATAAAAATTTTTTTAAAATTCGTCGAAAGAATTCAATTATTTAAAAATTTGTTGAAAAACTTTTATATAAGAATATTAAATTTTAAGAAAGATTCATTTATTTATTGAATAAATTTTTTACGTTTGTATTTAAATAATTGAATTCTCGTAGAATTTTCTAATAAAAATTAATTTCATATAAAGTTTTAGATTTAACTTTGGAGAAGTTACCAATAATTGCAATTTTTAGAAATAATTGAATTTCGTAAAGGTTTCAAATTAAAATTATTGATATTTTCGAATAATTTGCCAATTAAAGAAATTCGTAAATAGAACATTTTTTTAGTATGAATCATTTTTAAGGTGAATCAGGATATTCTTTAGGGTCAGGAAAAAGTCAAAATTTTGTCTGGAAACCAGGGAAAAGAAAATTAAATTCTTGTGACAATCCTGTTAATAAAGTTAATAAAAATTAAAATAGTAAAGTAAAATGTATTTGGTAAATAAAGTCCAATAGACAAATTTATCATATAAAGATATAATTCAAAAAGTAATTACAAATATTTCAATTTATACAAATATTATATTCTACAAATGTTAAAATCCTTTTGATTGCAACCATCGGTTTACTATTGAAACGAAATCACCTTGAAATATGACAACACCAGCAGGTTCGTTGATTCGCGATGAAACCAATTTTACTCTCTTTTTCTGTGCAGGTTGAAGATATTCTATGTGACTTTTCAATTCCGACTCAAATTGCCAAATATCGCCTTGGATTTTACGTATATAAGTCAATCGTCTCATTCCTCTTTTTGACAATATCATGTAAACTGGATGCATATGATTCTTTGTACGAGGCACAAAGTAGGGCAAATTCGTGTTTGGCTCTAGAAACCGTTAAAGAATAAATTATTACCCTTTCGTTTAAAATTCAGTTTCTTGAATTCCTATGGTATTTGGTCAATTGAATTAAAAATAAAACAATTTTATTATTAAGTTGTTTCAAAATTGAAAAAAGTGAGTAACAATTTTTTTCCCAAACTATATTAGTTTATTAATTAATCTTTAAATGATTTTTAATTATGGGAATTGTAAAGTAATTGAATTGTCATTTGTCTGATTGTTCTCTGGACTTGAAAGGAATAGGGGAAAAAATGTTAAAGAATTATTTATACCTTTTGGAGGTACCCAGCCACTTGGTGTAGTCTCAACATTCTTTGGAGGTGCTGGAACAGTTTTATACGGAAACAATCGTTCTACGTATTTCCATTCATTTGGATCGGATGTAATATCGAATTTTGTGAATTTAGAAGGGTCCTTATATAAACCACATGATTTAAAATTGCTCCATCTTTTTTGAATCTGAAAAAAAGGAAAAATTATGTTTCCTGTGAAGCTTTTTCATTGTGAATGTAATTTGCAATTAAATAACTTAATAGGTAATTAGTTTAAAAATTGATTAAAAAATAATTATTTCCAATAATACATTCACAGGTACAATTTATTTATTACAAAAGGGCAAATTTTTCTTTTCAGGAAAAATCGGATGTACAGGTTATGTTTGCTGGAAAATTCCTATGTAAAGAAAATGAATTTAAAATTACATTGCATTGAAAAAAATTACTTTCTAAATGGGGAATTTTCAAACGCATTGTCTGTAGAATAATAATTGAATCTCAACCTCGTGGACGTATTTTATCGAGTGACAGTTTATGTTTTAAGGTTATATTGCCATTTAACAAAGGGGATTTTAAAGTGTGCGAAAAATATTCCACCCTGCTCAAGTAAATATGTTAAATTGTGACAATTTGTAAAATCACTGCTAATAAGAGTAATAAGGGTCATTCATAAAGCCCTTCACTTTCGGAACAGGGAAAAAAAAATAAGACATAAATTTTTCCAATTTGAAACAATTAGAGAGTGAAATGTGAGAAAAAGAATGGTCTACCTCGAGAGTGGATGGTGAAACAATCCTTTGAATTTCAGTTTTATTAAAAGCATGAAGTATCGAGGAAAGCTTCGAGCGTGTTAATATTCGAAGGGAGGCCATTTTGACTTCGGTAAATAAGGGTCGGTGTCAGCCATTGGTTGCGCACGGGCGCGTCTTCTTTCTCGCTCTGGTAGATTTTTCCTCGTGTATAACATCAATTTTCCCGCGACCTTGTGTTCCCTTTAGTTATTCAGGAACGTGCACATAAAATTTTTTTTTTGAGAAAAATCGCCAACGATTGGGACAATAATTATATGGGGAAATTTTTTTTGTCGAATAGGTATTGAGACAGACAGTTAGCATGAATGGCGTGTAGGTTTGGAATGTGCCGCGTTGTTGCCACCTTGCTCAGATTAAAATCAGTGTAAAGAAAAATTGTCCGGATTAAATAGTGTTCATTCAAGTGCTTGTGAATTTGGTGAGAAATTAAATTGTGCCTAAATTTTGATTGACATCGTCCTGCAGGGGGATGAACAATTGCAAATTTTCCTTGTGTGAAAATTATCATAAATAGGCTATGGGACTTTAAAAGGTCGTGTGATCTGTCACCAGGTGGCGGAGTTGTGCACCATGGTCAAAACAGTAGGACAGCGATAGCGTACAGACACCCTGCAACGGGACACCGTCTTTTTCTCGAGGATATTTTTACCGTTTTCCCCGAAAAACGACGGACTTTCAGCAGGATTTTTAGCCTCATAGGTAAGTTTATTCTGCATTGTTTCTATTAAGCCTATGATTTATCATGTCCGCAAGTGTTGAGTGGCAGATCTAACTCGAGAAATCCCAAGTCAGACTCGACCTTTTGTTTATTCGTGGCGATTTTTCGCAAAGCTTTCTCGGGAAATTTTCGATATATTAAGTACACCGGAAAAGGAGTTTTCACCGCGAGAAGTTAATATGTGCATTGAAATTAATATTGGGACAAAAATTTCTCAGATTAGTGAATTCATTGTGGAGATATTACCGGAAATACTTGGAGGCATTTTCCTAGTCGGAAAGAGGCGCACAGTACATCCGTGTAAATGCAAAGTTTGTCACGTAATTTTTCTTGGCTAACAGGGCCGCATTCATCAACCCCACTAAGCTACGTATTTACTTTTATGCGGATATATTCTCGACGTGCAGATTTTACATTTCGGAGCATTCTCGTACTTTCGTGGGGTTCTGAATCTTTATACGCTATTTTCCATCCATGTTAGATATAGGAAAAGGTTAGTAGCAGCGTTCGAAATCAGCCATTCTCGACTACTTGTGATTGCTTTACTACTACTTATAATATGTCGGACTTGTTTCGTGAGATTTTTTTAATTAGATGAATTTACTCAACGAGAAAACACATTTAATGATTCATCTCAGTTATTTGTATTATTCTTTCACATAAACTAGGTAAAATGCGAAATTTTTACATGTAGTTTTTTTGAAAATAGTTGTACGCGTCACTCCTCGAAATATTTATTATCTCATAAAGAAACATATTTTTAACAACATTTTTTTTTCTTTTTGTAGAATTGTCTTTATTTACTAATTAAACTATTTTGTCATTATTGCATGAAATTATGTGAATTTGAGTTTGGATTTATCAAACATTTGATGTATATATTTTTTTTCTTGAATAATTGATAAGCATTTTTTAATTGCAAAATTACAGGATTGTAAAGTTGAAATTACTTGTTGATTGTTGGTCAAGTTGACAATATTTTCAAGAAATCTAATGATATCCATAACAATTCTTTTGTTTTATTTGTTAATTCATTTGTTTTTTCTGAAAATAATTTTTAAAGGTTATGTTTGAATATTCGTGTTGTGCAGATTTTCTTTTTTTCATTAAAATTTAAACAATAAAAATGATAGACAAGTGGAAGATAAAATGTTTAATATTGCCTAAAAATTAAATAATTTACTAATTCCTATGTATTTAATTTTTGTTAAATTACTATAAAAAAAAATGTTTTTAATATTTGTGCTTTTGAACGAATTTCTTGAATGAATTTCTTAGAAACTGATTTTGTAATAATTGTTTTTGTCAGTGGAAAAAATTGCATAATATGAGAAAATTAATTTGATAATTAATATTTACTAAATTATTATTTTTTTCTCAAAATGAATATTAATTTTTGTTCATCAAATATCTAGAAAATATATTGCAACAAAAATTGAAATTCCTGTTTCTTATAAAGCACTTTTGGAGAATAAAAATAATTTGAATTCTTTGGAGAGTAAAATCTTTTGATATAAAAATAAATAATAAATTAATTAATTAATTAAAGTAATCGAATTTTAAATTTTACTTAAAAGTTATTTTAAAAATATTCGCAATTTAATTTATTTTTATGTTCCCAAAGTTTTGAAAGTTGGAAATTTTTTATTTATATCTTAATTTCTATATTCTGACTAAAATATTTATTTTCTATATTCAAAAAATTAATTATTAACTCAGTGACTGTTTAATTTGAATTATTTTTTCTTTTTCGATAGCAATTTCAAAAAATATTGAAGCAGAAACAAATTTCGTTCAAAACTTCAAGGAAATTTATTTTTTCTAAGCAAATAGAATTTTCTGCATAAATAATATAAATAATTATTTTCCCATAAAGTCTATTTTATTTTATTTCTTTATTTTTAATTAATTTTATTATCAAATTAAAATTTTTTAGCAATTTTTTGTTAATTCCAAACACAAATTTTACATTTTTAATTTTATAAAAATAATGAGTTTGAAATTTAAGAAAAATCCTTGAATAATTTCTTAATACAAAATTTGTGACTTTGTGTAAAAAAAAACTTTTTCCATAAAAAAATTATCCACATGAGAAAATTTCAAAATATTTAACGTAATTCGTTCTTTGAAAAGTTGAGTATCTTATCAATTCCACATTGATATGATGTATCTAATAACGATTCTGTTACATTTTGGAGTAAAATCTGCATCTAGAAAAAGAACATTGTAAAAATATTTTTATTATTAATTTTATTAGGGAAGATATTTTGATTTTTTTTAATGACACTACACTGAAAAAAATTCGGTCGAAATCTTTAACTACTATTACCTAGTTGAGTTGAAAGTTGTCAAATTAATTACTTTTTTAGTTTTACTAACAATTTTTGTGTAGTTGATTTTACTACTTTGAATATAGTTGAAGAATAATAGTTTATATAACTAAAAAAAGTAGTTAAATTGCAAAAACAACTACAAAATCTAATTACATCAACTAAATTCTTAGTTCTTTTTACTACTTTCGGTAGTAAATATAAATTTTTAAATTCAGTTGAGGACCTATTGAATCACTCAGGGTAGTTAAAAAGTAGTCAAATCTACTAGTTTTTTTTTTGAGTGTAAAAAATGGTCGCTCATTATATGTACTGATTCTAATAAGTAAAAAAAAAGTAGCAAAAAATCAGTAAATTACTGAAAGTTAAGAAAATGGTTAATTTTCTAATTTACCAATTGAGTAAATTAAATTAAAGCAAGATTAAATTATAAAATAAATGAAATTACGGGAATTTTTAAAAACTATGAGCAAAGCTTCATTTTCTTTCGAAACTTTAAGAAGTTTACGAAGTAAAAGTAAATTGACGTCATTTACCCCTTTTTAAATTAAAATTTATTTTCAACAAATATTTTTATTATTCATCGAAATTTGCTTCTATCATATTTGCTTGAAAATTGATTTTTAATTACCTTTCAAGTTCCCCCATAGAAAAATTTCCCGTCTTACAATATTCCCAACTAATAAAATCCATTTATCGCATATTTGAAAAATTGTCATTTTGTTTTTCATACACGGAAATTCATTTGAAAACTTTAAGGCAAATTTTCATTTACAGTAAACCTTGTTTCCGTCACTTTATTATGGGTTTGTGCAGAGTGTTAAACTTTGAGTCTCGCAGGTACTAAGTAGGGGCGGGTATCGTATATTCTCATCAATGGGTGTTTGAAGAATCCAAAACTTTAATGAGAGATGTACACCTTACACAAATCCTCGGACATTTGACTCGAACGGTTGTAATGTAAATGTTTTGTTGTGAATTGTGCGTTAAAATTTCTCGTCTTTTTTCTTGTTGTTATTAATAATTATTTATCGAAAATAGTGTCTCTTACGGTGTGTAAATTATTTATTTTACGGAAAACAATTATGAATGAATATTTGATGTGATTTTGATTGTGTTTGAAAATTGTAATATTGTGTTGCATTTCCGCCATAATAGATTTTTCGCGTGTGTACAAAAATTTTCCCCTTTTTTTCTAATGATCTCTTGTTTTGTCGTGAAAAAAGTGCTTATGTACTTTTATTTTTAGCAACAGTGAACACAAACTTTGACAAGATTTATCCAAAATGCTTACTGTTAGGAAAACTAGACTGAAATTAAAGGTACTTATAATATGGAAAATGGAAATTTATTCTTGAAAATTTTGTTGTATTATTTCGTCTCTCTTTCTTTGTCGTTTTTACAATTTTTCGTTATTTTCTTTTTTTGTCATTTTTAACCTATTTTGGATGTTTGATATATTTCTAATATTTTAATTTTATTATTTCAATTTTTGTATTTTTGTATTTTTGTATTTTAATATTATAGAGTATTTTAGTGTTTAGTATTTTATACTTAGTATTTTACACTGAATTTCTTAGAATTTATATATTGTTTCTAGTATTTCCATGACGAAATTTGTGTTTATGATCAATCACGTGATTTTGTCGATATTAATAATTTTGATCTTGAATATAAATTGAATAATGTTGAATTCTCATGTAAAACGTAAAGTTATATGTCTATTACATGAAAAATCTATAATTCCAAAGTAGGTCAGTAGTAGGCATGGAAATTCTTTAACAAACTTAAAATAGTACATTTTTCTCTTGTTAAATTTGTTGGATTTCATGTGGAAATCAAATGGCATTTATCTTATTTACACACATATGTAGTTAATGACTGTTTCAAAGTTGTTCTCGATATTAATTAACTTTGAAGACTAATCATTATGAATTTTTAAATTAAAAATCTAAATAAACATTGTTCCCTGTTTTGTTTGTACTCATGTTTATTATATAGAAAGCAGGAAAGTAGTTTACACGTTTTATAGAAGGAAAGAGAGTGTTGGTATAGAGCACTAGTGTAAACTGTAGCTTCCAGTGAGAGGTTAGAATACATTACTCAGGGATGGATTGCTTCATATTATATATATATATATATACTTTTTTCATGAATCTTAAGCTCTGATTGTTAAAGGCTATTTAGAATTTTTATTTTCGAACAAAAGGGTAAAATAATTTTTTGACAAGAATGTTTCTTTATTTCATTGAAAAATTTGTGTACTTATTTCAAAATTATCGCGTATTTTACCAAGAAATAGTAAAAGATCAAATAAAGATTTTTAAAATAGAGGATTGAAAGTTACCGAAAAAATTTAACAGGGCAGGTAACGTGATCCTGAGTATTTAAGAAAAATTAAAGAATTCTTCACTTTTTTACACAGAGAAAAATATAAACTTGTAACTTTTACTACTTTTATAGTAAAAAATTTCCGATAAAGCATTTCTGGTAATTTTTACTACTTTTGGAGTAAATTTTGCTACGTTCGAAGTAAATTTTACTATAATTATTACAAATATGTACTTTGAACGTAGCAAAATTTACTCCAAAAGTATTTAAAATTACCAGAAATGCTTTACCGGAAATGTTTTACTATAAAAGTAGTAAAAGTTACTTTATATTTTTCTCCGTGTATAAAACTTGTACATATAGTGAAGTTGAAGTAGTTAAAATAGTAGACAAATCCCAAACTATTTTATTTGATTAAAAAATTGTAATGAAATATTTCAGAAATTTCTTGTTTTTTTTAAATATTGACAAAAATTATTCGCGTTTAATTTCAGGAGCCCAATGTGGGTGGAAGTGAGATGGCATCCAGGGAGAAAAGACCCTTAGTGCCTTCTAAATCAAAGCAGAAGGCGAGTGAATCTAGTATATCGTCTCCCGATAATAAAACAAAAAAAGGAAAAACACTGCCAAATTTGAGACAGCAAATTGCACGCGATATTTTAGAAGCAGTGGCAACAGGTAGCAAACTCCCTCCAAAGTTAGAAGCTAGTTTGCCTCGTAAAAAAGCACTCGAGAAGCTTAAAAGAAATAAGGAACTTCGTTCGAGAGTAACACTGATTAAAGCGAAGCAAAAAGTAGGGCCCATTAAAGGAGCAAGAAAAATTAACACCGAGGCGAAGAAAACAGTGAAACCAAGAAAGGTGAAACAATCCGCGAGTGCTGAAACTAAACTTAATGAATCTGGAGTGAAAGGTGGTACTACTACGGAAAATTCGAATGTAAATACTGACAACAACGAGGGTAAAGGAACTGAGGCGAATGCTAAAAGTGCAAAGATTGTTACTAAAACAATAAAGAAGACGAAGGCAACAAAAATTTCTTCAGGCGACAACGAAACATCAGAATTGCATGATAGTTTAATTATCCCTAAAGTTAATCAAAAAACCGGTAAGAAACAATCGGACTCGCTGAAAAGCGCCGGAAAAACGGTGAAAACAATCGGGAAAAAATTGGGTGCAAAGGAAACTGGAAATTCAGGTGTACTTTTGCTTTGGGACACAAAAAGTACGAAACCGAAGAAAAATCTTGCCAAGGATACGAGTTATTCATCTCTTCTTAAAAATACTTCAACGACTGATAAAACAAAAACATATTCCGAGGATAGTAAAAATTCGATAGATTTAACTATTGAGGAGGTAATTGCTTCAATGTTGAGTGATCCTGAAATAGAAGAATCCGAAGAAAAGGAAGACAGTAAAACGACTAAGACTAAGAAAATGATGGTTGGTGAGAGATCGTTTTGTGATGTTGAAATTAAAAAGGAAAAAATCGACTGCGAAGATGAGACAACGGAAGGAAGGTGTGAATCGTCGGGAATTGAACAAATTATCCAAATGCAAATTCCAGTGCAGGCGAGGAAAAAAGCAACACCCACTCAACGAAGTCTACGAAATGGAAAGCTGCGACAACTTTCCGACTCGGGAATATCGATTGACATTGAAATGAAGAAGGGAGGAAGGCTCAATTCTGATGAGCATTCAATGGAACAAGAGAACACATCGGACGGTAATATTGACACTGAATCCTGCTTTTCCGAATCGAGTGTCAATGAATCGAGAATCAACGTCCTCTCGACTAAGGACAATTTATCCGTGACGACCAAGGAGGAGAAAAATCATCTCGACGAAGTTATTCAATTTGTCTCCGAAATTGAAAACAACAACAACAGCGATCAAGTGGATACAACTGTTGAAGCTCGTCCAGCTTTACGATCAAAGGTAAAAACACGAATTAGCGACGAAATGCCGACCGACGAGATGAAAATCGAAGATTCAAAATCAACCGTAGAATATCCACCGATCAATTTCATGCAAATCGTCCATATTCCGAAGAGGAGAAACAGTTTAAACACCAGTACGAAAAAAAGAAATCCCTTCGCCTACAGTTTCGAGAAGAGTGACGGTTCATCAAAATCACAAATTGATCAAATGATCGAGGACATTAAATTAACCATCGCCAAATCAATAGAGAGTAAAATATACGGACAGGAAAAGGGAAAAGCTTTCGAGGGCTTGAGCAAGAGTTTCGATGTGCCAAAAATTGAGGAAGTCGTCGCCCCCCTAAGTGCCGAAGTTCAAAAGGTCGGACTCGAGGAACGAAACGAGGAGGAAATGTCAAATATTGCCGAGCAAAAGGTGAAATCGGACAATTCGGAGAATTCGGTGCCAAAAGTTGCCGATACAGCCAAAGAAATTGAAAAACTAGTCATGGGAGAAAATCAATCAGTCGATTCGCAATCTCAAAAGAAGAATACCGATCATCAGGAAATAGTTCATCAAACGACGAGTAAAGAAATAGCGGAAAATGTAGCCAACACCTCCCAAGTGACACAATCCAGCAATGAAGTGGCAATTTCCAATTCTGAACACGAGAATAATTTGAAGAAACCAGGAAGAAGTAAAACTACCCAAGAATTATCATCTGAGAAAATAGACTGTATAGTTGAGGAAAAAATATTAAAATCAGAATCATCACAAATTGAGGATTCAATGAATACTTCAAATCTAACAGCCGACTCGGAAACTAGTATCGTTTTAAATATTTCCTCAATAACTGAAGAGGAGGTGGAGGAGGAGGTGGAAAATTTAGAGACTATTTCAGTTAAAGTTGAATCAAACGAGAAAACGAAAATTGTCCAAATGACACAAGTTCCTCTATCTGAAATTCGAAATTCCGAACAGAATAATGAACTGAAGGCCGTTTCTTGTCCTAAAACCGATTCTGTTTCATTAAATGAGGAAATTAATTCTCCAAGTGAAAAAGAACATGTAAATAGTAATCAATTATTGACTGATGGCTGTGATAATGCTGCAACTAGTGCACAAACAAAATTGACACACTCATCTTCTGAGACTGAGAAATTAACGGCATCGAACAACGATAGTTCCTTGAATATTACTAATAAAGAATCATCACCATCCTCAATATCATTATCTTCAACATCATCCTCAACTGCAACAACAACTACAACTTCGTCACCATCATCATCGTCATCATTACCCGAGAGTCAAGATCCAAAGAATCCAAAAGAGGAAGAGCAAAAAGTCGATGACAACAAAAGAGTTCTACGAGGTCGCGAGAAGCAAAAGAAAATCGAACCCAAGGAGGAGGAGAAATGTGACACAAGTCTCGAAACTCAAAGCAATGGCAGTTTATTGACAGAGGAAAAATGTCAAAATAAAGCTCAAAGTGAAAGTGATGTTCCAGTTCGTACGCGACGTACACGCGAGAGTAAAAAACCGGCAGTTAACACAAATCTCAAGCCTAAACGCAACAGAAAGGAAGTGAAAAAATCCGATCAACAAAATAAGGAAGAGACCCTACTCGACAATGAAGTGGCAAAAATAAATGAAAATAAATATCGAAAATCCGTCGAGGAGGTAAAAACACCACGTGGCTGCTCAGTACCATCGACAAACAATGATAAAAATCAAGAAAATAAATCACAAGACAATACATCGAGTAATCGAAGTAAATCGGAGAATGATTTAGAGAATATGCAAAATTCACAACGAAGTAGTGCAACAAGTAATGGAGAAAGTTTTATGCCAAAGGATTCAAATAATGAAAATTCAACATTGGATATCGATGAGAAGAATGTGAAGACATTGGATAATTTGCAAAAGGATTCTGATGAGGCATCAACGTCGGGCGAATCGTTGAGCAGTATAATTCAGGAGACACCGGAGGAAAAAGCGAGAAAGGAGACTGTTTTTCGTCTATTGGGACTTGAATCGTGGGAAAAAGCTGCTGAACGTTTAAATCATCAGAAAGCAAAGAGGGAGCAGACAAGCGGTTTGAAAATGAGAATTCCAAAGGGACGCGATAAGGACAAAATGAGATCGCGATCGCCGTTGAAGATGGTCTTGAAGCAGGGTCGCGCTGACGGTGAAGGAGATTCACCTGAATTCTACACCATTCAAAAGGAGGTATGTACATTTTTTTTTGTTCATTTCTTTTTTTTTTTATCTAATCAGTAAAAAATGTATCACTTTAAAATATTCTCTCAACATAATTTTTATCTATTTTTAAATTTTCCATCACGTTTTTAAATTGAATTAAATTAATTAATTAATTTAATTTATTAAAAATTAAATTTAATTAATTGATTTAATTTAATTTAATCAAAGAAAAATTTGCAAAAGCTTTTTATTGTTCCTACTTAGCACTTGTTTTGAAAGAAATTTAAAAATAAAAAAAATTAAATACAAAAAAATAAGAAATTAATTTAACTTCAAAAAAGTTCTTTTCTGATTTTTCGTTTTCTAAAAACGTTGCCGAATTCTGACTCGCGAAATTCACAGCGTTTATGATCGAGAAATTGAAGATTGAAAGAAAACAAATTAAATTAATTAATTAAATTTAATTAAATCAAGTTAAAGTCCACAACGTTGATCAACGAAAAAAAATTATTCACTAAGTAAATTAATTGAAAATGACGCAGCAATATTGCCACAAAAATATTTATTGTGTTTTGATAATAATTATTGGATAATTAAATATTAAATTAAAAATAATACTTGAATGTATAATTTTTTTCGTTCATCAAAGTTGTGGACTTCAACTTCGATAAATTAAACAGTAAATTTGTACGTCGGTGAAGTTCGCAATGTTTTTAAAAACGAAAAAATAATCTGAAGTTGTATTTCATTTTTGGTTCACAATTCATGTTATTTGTTAGCAATTGCATTTCAAGTTTAGCAAGTAAAGTAAAAATTAAGTTAATTAATTAAGTAAAAATTTCTTATAAATTAAATTTAAAAAATTTAAATAAACATTTAATTACAAAAACATTAATTAATTTTACTTGAAAAAAAAATTCTTTTTTGATTTTTCGTTTTCTAAAAAGGTTGAGGACTTCGGCCTCGTGAAGTTCACAACGATTATGATCGAGAAATTAAAGATTGAAAGAAAAGAAGTGCTAATAGCAATAAAAAGCTTTAACATATTTTTCTTTATTGATCAAAAAAACTGCAAAACATTTTTTATGCAAAAATTTATAAAACTTTGAGTAGAAAAATATTTATTATTCTAAATCGTTTATGATTGACGTTTGAAAAAAAAATATTTTTCTCGAGGAAAACAACAAAATTTGTTTGGAAATTTTTCTTTTTTAAAGTATTGGTCAAGGAAGTATATGTGAAACATTTTAAAATGAAAATTTACACAAATTTTATCAGGAAAATTATTTTTTCTTCTAAATTGTTGATTATAAACGTTGTGAACTTCACCAAAGTTAAGTTCTTACATTTTTTACAATTTATATTATAAAAAAAGAATTTTAAAAAAAATGTTTAATGTTTGATAATAAATCAGGGTTGCCACAGATCAGGAAAATCGGGAAAATCAGATTTTCCCAAAGTTTCTGAAAGTTCAACTGAAGAGAATATTTTTTCTTTTTAAATATTTTTAAAAATTACTGTACAAAAAAAGAATAAAAATTGAAATTAAATATTTACTAATTCAAGAATTAATTTTTTTAATATACAAAATTATTTTCTTTTCTGAAAAAAATACAAAAGAAGCAGAAAAAATATTGACGTTCATTTGGACGTTCAAAACTTTAGGAACGAATTCAGGGAATTTTATCAAAAGTCCTGGAAATTTAATTTAAAAAAATATTTTGAATTTTTGAACTTTTATTCAAATTAATTAAAAATTCCCAATGACGTTGTTTTTGACAAATTTTTATTAAAAATTTTTTTGAAATTAGTTCAATTTTCTAAATTATTAGTTACAAATTATTTAATGAATAATTTTACTTCAAAATTTCAAAAATAATAAAATTTTAAAAGAATTACGTCAACAATTTTTGGAAATGATTGAATTTCAAAAGGTTTCAAATTGAAATTTTAAATATCTGTATTTTAAATCAATTTTAGTTGAAAATTCTAAAAAAAAACTTGTTTTTGGAAAATTTTCATTTAAATTATCTTGAAATTAGTTGAATTTTTTTCTTAAAAATTATTTAATAAATAATCTTACTTTAAAATTTCAAAAATAATTTAATTTTAGAATTGCGTCTACAATTTTTGTAAATGATTGAATTTTCAATGTTTTCCAATTGAAATTTAAAATATTTGTATTTTAAACCAATTTTAGTTGGAAATTTCAAAGAAATTTGTTTTTGAAAAATTTGTATTTACACGTTTTTGAAATTAGTTCAATTTTTTTAATCTGTATAGAAATGTAATTGAAAAATTTTTGAATTATCGAAATTTTATAAAATTGAATTGTAAACGAGTGGATTTCAGTTATTTTAGGCAAACTTTCTTTTTTTCTATTTCAATAATTGAATTCATGTTTCTAAAGTTCTGAGCGTTCAAATGAACAAAATTTATTTATTTCTTCTCCAAATCAAAATTTTATGCCAATTATATTGTATCACTTAACAGAAATATTAATTATAAAGTTTCTGAATGTAAAATTTCAGTTTTCAATTTTTATTACAAACAATAATATTTATAGTAAAAATAAATTTAATTAATTAATTTTTTTTTTATTATTTTTTTTTTAATGAAAAAATATTTAATTTATTTGATCGTACAAAACTTGTGAATAATTTGAATTCTTAAAGAAATTTCTCAAAATTTAATAAAAATAATTGATTTATACAGAAGAATTTTCTGTTGAAAACTGTAGAAAATAATTGAATTGGAATCATAAAAATATAATTTTGGGTAAATTACAGTTACAATTCTTATAAATTATTTAATTTCAAAAGGTTTGAAATATTTGAAATTTTAAAAAATGTTAATTCCTGTGGAAAAACTTCTATTAAAAAAACCAATAGTTTTCATAAATAAATATTTACTTATTATTATAAATAAATATTTATTTAACGAAATAAATTTATTGGCAACTTTTTTTTGTTATATTTAATTATTTTCCGAGTGAATTAGAATATTCTTTCGGATCCAGAGAAAATTGTCAAAATTCTATATGAAAATCAGGGAAAATTCTGGGAAAAGCAAAATTAAATTTCCGTGGCAACCTTGCAAATGTTTAATTATCATGAAGCTAATAGATTCTTCTTTATTTTATTTACAGTGTGGAACCAGTGTGGGAGAAAGCAGTTCTGGTGCGAACCGAAAGTTGACTACTAACCACAGACACTCTTGCGGTAATCCTGGTTGTGGGAATAACTTTGTTAATCGAACCTTTTCCCTAAACGCTTATCAAAAATCATCCAATTACGCTTTCTTTGCAAAAAAAAAAAAATGAAAATATCAGGAGAAAAAAAAATTTCATTTGAAAAAAAATAATGCACGAAAATTCATTGTTATTTTTCAATTAATTTACCATTTAACAAAAATTTGTATTGTTTCATCCAATTCTTTGGTTTTGGCTCTATTTTTTTTGTTTAAAGATTCCAATGAAATTTTTTTAATTCAGAGAAAAAATGCATGCCTCACAAAATGCTTTGCTTAAATAGAAGAAGAAGAAGAAGAAGAAGATTTTTATTCTGATGGCAAATTTGTTTCTTTTTTTGTTTATTGGAAAATACAGACGAAGACAATGAGGAATCACAGTCAAAGGATCGTCAATCTTTGGTGATACCAGAAAAATCCTCATCGTTTTCTATTCATCCTGGCCGTTGTTGTGGCGATGTTTGTTGTTATTGCTTTGGAAAATTTGGCTCGCTCGATACACCAATGCATTTAGCGCAAATGAAATCGGACGAGAGACGGCAAAAGATTTTGAATCTTGAAAGACATCTGACGAAAGATTCTTGTCTCTGCGATGCGTGTTATCGTCACATTGATAGAAAGGTAAGTTTCACAATGTTTAAGAAACGAATTGAAATATAATTAAATTATAAAAAAGTGTCGTTTCTTTAAAAATTGTATTTTGTATTTTTTTAATTAAAATTCATTTTATCCGAAAATGAAATTTCTAAATAATGAATAATAAGTAATTTTAATGAATAATTAGATCTAGATATTAATTAATTTTCGATCTTTGTAAAGGCGAACCAGAGTCCAACAAACATTCAAACGAAACCACAAAAACAACATCGACAATATTTGGTACCAAAATGCTGTGCACGTGGCTGTTTAGAACCCGCGAGGCATCACGTCAGACGCCGTTGGCTTCAAAAAGTTAAGGTCGGCCTTCGAAGCGAGGTAATTTTGCCTTTTTTACAATTGTTAATTAATTTGACACAATTTTCACCTTTTACATGATTTGATTAATTTTTGGATGTTATTGGATGAAAAATATTTCAAAAAAAGTTGAATTCACAATGTCAATTACATCCAAATTGGGGTTAAAAAAATGGTTTAATTTAAAAGAGAATTTTCATTATTCTTGAGCTTAAATTGTAAATTTTTGTCTTTTTTTGTCATTAAAAATGTTTTAATTGATTCGAGCATATTTTTTAATTTCTAATTAAGAGAATAAATGAAAAACTTTATTAATTTGTTTATAGGTTGATATAAATTGGGAATCGAATCCACTCACTTCGATGTCATTTTGCGTGACTCATTATCCCAAAGTCGCAAAGTTCCTAAACTGTGGCCTGTGCAAACGACGCCTTCAGAAGAATCAATCTTTCCCATTAAATTCTCAGGAGACGATTGAATTGAATCGACGCTTCACACCCCAAGGAATGGACATTCCCACAACTGCCGGTACCTTCGTTTGCAAACTCTGCCGATGCTTCACTTCCCTTCAGCTCAAATACAAAGACATTGACAATATGCATAAAACGAATAAAGAATTCTACAAGAAATACAAAGCAAAGTAAGTTTCAATTTTGTTTACCTCTTTACCCAAAACCCGAAATTGTAATTTTGTCGAACTGAATACTAAATTGTTGAATGTTACTTCCAGAATATTGAGCAGTCGTCTCTCGGGTGGAATGGATAACGAAATGGATGACATGCCAAGTAATCAAGAATCAAAGGAGAAAGAAAAGGAGAAACAGAAGAAAGTAAATAAAAATCCAACTCAAACGAAAAATAGTGCATTGAATTCAAAACCATCGAATAATAGTAGTAATTTGACAAATCCAAGTTTGGAGAAAATGGCTGTCAAAACGAATAAACAAGGGGAGGAGAGTTCATCGCCAATAACTGTTATTGGAAGAAGTGAACAACAAGATAAAAGTGAAATTAAAAATAGTGCAAGTACAAGTAATTCAAATGAATCGCCAATAAGAAATGATGTACAATTTGTCGCGATTGAAAAGACTATTGAGAAATTAAAGAAACGAAAAGCATTGGAGGCACTTAGTTTTACGAGTACAAATACTAGTGAGTCTAGTGAGGGTGCAAATGTCGTTGAAATTCTCGCTATGGATAAGGAAGTTACATTAACAAGACTGCCAAAGAAGATGAGAACGAATAATGATATTACACCGGTTGTACAAAGACTTGGAGCAAATCCTTCGATTAGTGTGCGAACACTTTTCCCAGGCGAAGAGGAAATGAATCTTCATGCGAACATTGAATTTGGTAATGTCAGAGAAGTAACGCCTCAAGGTTGGGAAAAATGTGCAACAATGATACAATATGATCGTGATACAAAATTACTTTGGCAGGAACTGCAAAGGCCTTATGGTAATCAAAGTTCCTTTTTGAGACATTTAATTCTATTGGAGAAGTACTATCGATCCGGGGACCTTGTTCTCGCGCCGAATGCTTCGCGAAATGCTATTAATTATTCGACATCGGTGCATAATCGTTTGATCTCTTATGAGGGACCTGAAAAGGTGGATGAACCGATTATGGAACCGGTGACAATTGACTATACGAATGCAAGGAGATTGAGTGGAGGATTTGTCGTTGAAAGGGATCGCGTACCACCCACGAATACAACTACGTCTTTCCTCACTACCAGTACACCGAATCTTCCCAGCACTTCACAAACCTTCAAGGTATATTTTTTCTCTTTATTTCCTTTATTTCTATCCTTTTTTAGGGACATTTTATATTTTGAATACTTCAAAAATTTCCAAGTTTAAAAGTTCTGGAAAAATAATATAAAAAGATTTTGTAGTTTCAAAAAAATAAAATTTTTCCAGTTTTCAAAAAAAGGGAAAAAAGGAGACTAAATGTGATATCTGCAAATAGTAAATATTCTAAATAATTAATTCTTTAGAATATTATTATTATTAATTATTAATTATTCTAAATAATTAATTATTTAGAATATTTTTACTATTTGCACGGATCACAGTTCGTCTTCTTATTTTCCCTTGTTGTCAAACTTTGGAAAAATTTTGGTTTTTAGAAACTTTACAGTCTTTTTATATTATTTTGCCAGAATTTTTAAACTTAGAAATTCTTTTGGAACAAGGTAGCAATAAAAAATAACTTTTATTACTACTTATAAAGTAAATCCCAAAACGTAGTACAATTTGCTATCAAAAATTATTATTTGCAAAGTAAATTTTACTACTTCTGAAGTAAATTTTACTTTTACTTTAAATTTCTTACTTTTACTATTTTCGGAGGAAGCTTTACTAAGTCCGAAATGAATTTCATTAATTTTTACCGAGATTTGCTTCGAATGTAGAAAAACTTATGGAATTTTAAAACAAAAGTAGTTTTTTTAACAAAAATTTTGATTCAAAATTTGATAAAATTGCAGACTACGGGAAATTTGGGAAAAAGTCACTGAATTTAAAAGTACTGAAAAAAGTATCAAATTTCTAGAACTGATTAAAATAATTCTAGTTTTTGTTGTCAAGCGACCTTTGAAAATATTGAAAACATTTTATTTGTCTTGAATTTTTTTTATTCATCATATAAATTTTAAAATCACCTCAAATTTTAATAGAAAACCTTAATTTTTTTTCTATTTCTGACAATAATTGAACTTTACAGAATATAAAATTGAATTTATTTAAAATAATTTATTAATTTATTCTTGAAGAACTTTCTTAAAATTATTATTTTTAAATTATTTAGCTGACATTTGTTTTGTACAAGATTCAAAAACTAATTGGATTTTAGAAGAGTTGCGTTTTTAGTTTTTTTAAATAATTAAATGTCACAAGGTTTTAAATTAAACATTTTTAAAACACTTGAATAATTTTACAATTGAAAATAATCATAAATTTATGTATTAGAAACATTTTCTTGTTTATTTAAATATTTTTAGAGTGAATCAGAATATTCTTTAAAGGCAGGGAAAGATTCAAAATTCTGTCTGGAAATCAGGGAAAAGTCTGGGAAAAATAAAATCAAATTTTTGTGTCAACTATTGCAATTATCAGTAAAAATTGAACAAAAATTAAATGAATCAAATTAAATGGAAATGATCTGAAATTCCATTACTTCTAAAAATACAACTGTAATTCTTAGAAAATTCAATTACTTTCTAGAACTTTTAATCAAAATTATTCAATATTTTAATATTTTCTAAATTATTAAAAAAAAAGCAATTTAAATAAAAGTAGAGAATCTTTAAAATTCCTCTTTTTTTAAACAAAATACCACTTTTTTGTTATAAAATTCTACTTATTTAGTTTTTCGAAATTACATTTTTTTGCAAGTGTTCTAGCGCATAAAATAGATTTTTGTCATGAAAAGTAGAATTATCATTTGTAAAATAAATGTTCAACATTAAGTTTCTAATATTTTTCAAAATTTCTTTTTGATTTCGACTTTTTTAAACATTTATATAAATTTTGACGATAACAAAGTTGTCAAAGATCACAGAAATAAGGGAATTTTGACCAAAGTAGTAAAAAAATTTTTAAATTCTAGAAATGCTACAAAAATTCTATTTTTTTGTCAACTTTGAAAATATTGAAAACCTTCAACTGCTCTTGAATTTTCTTGTTCACGTTAAAAATTAAAAAGAAGACTATAAATTCTTACAGTTGCAATTTTTGTGTTTGAATAATTGAATTGTCGATGAACTTTCGGAAAATTAATAAAAATATTTGATTTAGAGAAGAATTTGAATTCGAAATTATGGAAAATAATAGGTATGAATTTTGGATAAAAATATTTGAAAAAATTTCGAAAAATCGAAATTTCGTAAAATTTAATTGAAAACAATTGAATTTTAGAATCGCTTTTAATTCAACTTTCTTTTTTTAAATAGTTGAATTCTTAAAGAATTTTCATAAAAATATTGAAAAAATAATTTATTTGAAAAAGAATTTTAGTTAAAAATTCTAGAAAGTAATTGAAATTTGGAGAAATTAGAGTAGCAATCTTTAGAACTAATTTAATCACAGAAGGTTTCCATTTCATTTTTGAAATTTTTGAAGATTTAAATTGACAAAAATGTTTAATTATACATTTTATTGTAATTCGAAAGAAATATTAAACTTTTGAATAATTTTAGTTAAAAGTTCTAGAAAATAATTGAATTTTGGAAGAATTATAGTTGTATTTTTTAGAAGTAATGGAATTTCAGATAATTTCCATTTCAAATCTTGGAAACGTTGGGAAAATATGGCTCTAGAAGTTAGCGTCGATGCTTAGCGTCAAACAGGGTTTTTTTTTGCAGAAATGAAAAGAATAAAACTATTTTTTTAAGGTTTTCGGTTAAAAAAAAGTTCCTGAACTAAGCTAAGAGTCGACTCTAACTTTAAGGACATGGGAAATATATAATCCATTTTTTTTATTGTTCAGAATGAAAGAATTGACTTTTTCTACTTTTTTCGTTCTTTGAATCAACTGAAACAATTTTTTTTTACATCTTAAAGTCGATCTAAGGCTAATATCCCATGAAAAAAATCACTGTGATCCCTTTATTTGTTTAGAATTAATCTTCCACTTATTAACAATTATTTAATTTGATTTTTCAAGACGACTTCCCCACGAACGATGAAAATAAATCCCGGAGTGTCAATAATGAAAAAGCCACCAACACTGCAACGATTGAGTTTTCCATCGACCAGCGGAGGAGGATCCATCACACCGCCAAAACGACAAGATCCCCAAAAATCGCCAATGCAACAGCAACGTCGAGGTAAGGCTTTTGAATTGAGTGAAATGAGTGAATATAAACGTCTATTAAAATTTAAACAACAAAAACAACAAACATTGTCAGAGAAGAATTCGCGTAATATTAGTAATGGTCCAGCGGGCATTGGTAATAATACACCAAGTCCATTACCCGGTCTAAAGCCAGTGTCACAAAATCAAAAATCTCACTACGTTCCACAAACACAATTTCAAAAGCATTTAAGAATGCAACAAGAAATGTTAAATCGACAGAGTCGCAGTGATTTTGAACCACTTGTTTGTGACATGAGACAATTATCAAATGAAAATACACCGACGCAAAATTTCCTCGGCAATCTAAATCTACCAAAATCAATTCAAGTGACAACAAAACCATCAATACCAATTCCAATATTGCCGAAAATTCCAAAGTCCTTAACCGTGATACCACAAACAGTACCGAGACCCATCGAAAAGTGAGATTTTTTTTTATTTTTTTCCTAAAAAAAAATAAGTCGGACGTAATTTATTATATCGGCTAATAAAAAGCCTTTTGTCACTGCGTGCTACAAGCTGCCTCTTGGATAATAATTATTCTACTTCTGCCGTTTGCTCCATAAACTTGATTATTCACGATTATATAGATTATATTATAGAAAATATAGTCGTATATTTAATATATACTAAATATCGAGCACGGAATAAAGAAAAAAAGGAGTGGAACTATTATACCGATGTAAGTTTGTAACCAAAGCTCTGACGTGAATGACAAAAAAAAAACATATAATGTATCTATTTTCGAAGAAAAGTGCCTAAAAAAATGAATGACACGCGAGAGGTCGTTAATTTCTATATTATTCTTAATTGCTTAATTAATCGATAATATAGGCTTGTATACATAGTTATATAGACTATATCTATATATTTATATATAATACAAATATACAGATATATAGATATATAGACAAAAAAAATAGAAAAAAAACACGACTCGTCAATATAGTTTAGTTTAAAATTCATATCATATATATATATATATTATTATTATTACTATATTATTATTATTCTTCTACAAAAGTTTCTTTATTTTAATTTTTTGACGATTTTCAAAAAATAAAAAAACCGTTTAAGACGAAATTGTTTATTGACGAACATTGAGAAAAGCATTCGTTTCATGAAGATTTAATTTTCTTATATTAACTGCATCTTTGAATTCAGCGAACAAAACAAAGAGACTGCTTAGAAATCGACAGTAAGCAGTTCTCTGCTGAGAGTATATATATATATATATATATATATATATATATATATATATATATATATTTATATACACATTGCTCGAGTACACGAGTATATTATCATTAATTTTTATTATTATGATTAATATTATTTTTATCGCTACTATTATTATAATTATAATAATAATTATTATTATTTCTATTATTATTATCATTACTATTATTATTATTATAATTATTATTATAATTATTATTACTATTATAATTAAAATTACTATTATTCTTATTATAATTCTGATTACTATTATCATTATAATAATCATGATTATTATAATTATAATTATGATTATTATAATTATAATTACTATTACTATTATTACAATTATTATTATTATTCTTATTATTCTTATTATGATAATTATTACTATATTATAATTATTATTTTCTTTATAATTATAATCATTATCACCACCATCATTATTATTATTATTATTACTATTTTTATTATTAATATAATGATTAATATTACTGTAATTATTCGTGAGAGTGATAATAATAATTGTTCACAGGATAATAATAATTGTCCACAGAATAATAATAATTGTTCGCTGAATAATAATAATTGTTCGTAGAATAATAATAATAGTAATAATAATAGTAATAATTATTGACATTTGTAATTATAATTATATCATTTGTAATTATTTGCCCGAAAAAAAAATTAGGTACATCGTTTATTGTACTGAGCGTTAGGTTTCGCGCGTTGAGCTTATTTATTACGTTTATTAAAAAAAATATTGCAATGTACATAATGAATTATCGATTAATAGTGTATAATTTAAATAATAGGCAATAATAATTATCGATTGGTAATTTTATCTGAAAGAATTCCTTAAAACTCGATACGATCGTCGATTATTGGGAGCCACTGAACTAGATTTTTTTTTTTGATATTTCTCCGAAGTTTCATTATTAATTTATTATTATTTTATAATAATTAATAATAAAATTATTGTTTCTTTAAAAAGTAAATAAACAAGTTTAAGAAAAAAGTTTAAGAAAATGTGAGAAAGGAGAATTATTAGGGATATATAGGTAAATAATTGAAAAGTGGCACTATTTTTGTATGTTGAAAATAAGATGTTTGAGAGAAAGAGAGATAGAGGAAAAAATGAAGCATCTTGGATTTTTTGATTATAGTCTATCGACGGCTGTTTTGCGGGTGATAGATCTTTTTTTGTAAATAGCTTATTATATATATTATATATAAATATATGTTTAAATAAATAATTTCGTTGGGGCCCCCGAGTGCGCGTAAATAACGAAAATATTAAAAAAAAAAAGATGATAAAAATTATTCTATTGTTGAGGAATATATTTAGATAAGGAGGACATTTCAAAGTGATAGCTTTTTTTTCTTCTCTATAATTAATAATAATTGAACTCTCGAGAGTCCGATAAAATGTAAAAAAAGAAAAAAATTGTCGAGAATTATTTTTTAACTATTATTTTTCGATGAAATGCTTTCATTCTTTATTCTTGTAAATTTCGTGCACGTATTGCTGTTTTATAACTTTATTATAATATTGAATTGAATTTTATCATTAAAAGAGAAATTTGTCAGAAAGTTTTCTTCTATTTTCTTCTACTTTTTTTTGTATTAAAAAATATATTCAAATTTTGCATTCAAGTAAATATAATTTTGTTAATTTTCGGGTGAATTTTCCCTTCTCGCTCGAATAGAAGATTTTTTTCAATTTCCTTTGAATAATTTTTTAAATATCTTTTTCATTTCTTTTTCACAATTTCTTTTTCTCCCTTAAATGATAAATTTTGAGAGATATTTTTCGTGATTTCTATATAATAAAAAAAAAAACTCGTATAGATAGAAATTTCAATCTTGTAAATAAATAAATTTAAATAAATCGCGAATCTTGATGCGGAGAGACTTTTTGCACTCGAGAAAAGAAAAAATATGGAAAAAAGAATATAAAATAAAAGAACGGAGAAAAAAGGGCACTCGTGTCGAGATAAATTTTTGCTGATATATACCTTTTGAGAAAAAAAGGGGAAAAAATGTTCACACGACTCATAATGTCGAATATTATAAATATACAATATATACATATATAAATATATAAAAAAATAGCGAATGAATTATCACGCATAAGGTACTCGTTGATACCTTGATATAAATGCTCTATTTTACTAAGGATATTTTTGATATATCTATATATATATAAAAAAAGCAAAGAATGTGTATATCGAATTACAAATACAGAAAAAAAGTGAACTATTACATTTGCTTGATAATCAGTAAATGGAGATAAAAATTGTTATTTAAAAAAAAATGTATTATATATACGATTTGTGATTGAAAAGCTCTGAAAGAAAATTTCACAACGTTTATAACGATTATAAGTTCGTTATTTGTTTCATGAATAATTTGAGGATACAAATTGATAATATCACCTCTTTTTTTGCATTTAAGTAATCCTTTAATTATTTTCGATAAATTATCGAGTATAAAGGAAATGAATTTTCGATTTGAAGGAATTATGATAATTTTAATTAACGAGTGACTGCAGACGGGGATTTTTTATATTTTGTATTTTATATCTGGGGTTAAAATATATATTAAAATGTTGTTTTACTAGTAATTTAATAAATTCAATAAATTATTAATTAATACAAAAAAAAAATATTTTCTGTTTTTGTATTTGTCTGCAAAATAATTTTTTGTATTTTTGTTTAACATTTTTCTATTTTTAATCTCTGGAAAAGCTAGAAATGTTAAAATAAGCAAATTTTTTTTGCTTTTTTGAAAATATGAAAATTTTGTAGAGAAAAAAATAAATAATGGAAATGTAAAAATAATTCAATAATGATAATTTGAAATATTTTCAGTCGAGAGAAGATGGAAAATTAGTAAGGGAATTTATAAAGAATCAAATTTTGCTGTCACCATATTTCTAATTATTTATTTTTATCAAATTTTTCCAAGAAAAAAAAATTAAGATAAAAAATATTTGTGAGATATTTTATTATTAAATTTTTATTTGTAATTCAAGTAAATTAAGAGGGGAAAGAATATATTTTTAATACAGATCTGTTAGTTTTTCAAAATTAGAGTAAAATATAAATTCATGAATTTTAATTAAAAAGGAAAAAAATTTCCAGTAATAACTGTTTGAAAATGTATATCTTAGATTTAAAAATTATTGTTATAATAAATATTTCTAAATTTATATTATTATGGTAAAAAAATATTCTTAAAGTTTAATTAAAGGGATTAAAAAATATATTTTAAAATTAATTGTTATCGATTTTTTCAAAAATAGAGTAAGAATAATATTTATTAAATTTATCTGAAGAGAAAAATATATTTTAGTATTAAATATTTCGAAAATGTTACTTATTGGCTTTATTCATGCAAATTAGTTAAAAGAAAAAAAAAATTTTAATTTTTTTTTATCAATTTTTTTTTTAAATTAGAGTAAAATAATATTCATTTTTATCTGATGAGAAAATATTTTCTTTTTCGAAATTCAGACTCTGGCAAAAAAAGAAAGGATTCACGAAATTCAAGAAAAAAATATATTTTCCAATTATTTTTTTATCAATTTTTTCGAAATTAAAATTACATTCACAATATTTGTCTGAAAAGAAAAAATATATTTTTAGTATTAACTGTTTTGAAATTCAGACTAATTGTCAAAAAAAAGTTTTCATGAAATTCAATTAAAAAGAAAAAAGTGTATTTTTAAATTATTTTTTTTATCAATTTTTTTGGAATTAAAATTACATTCGCAATATTTGTCTAAAAAGAAAAAAATATATTTTTAGTATTAACTGTTTTGAAATTTAGACTCGTTGCCTTTACAAAAATATTCATCAAATTTAATTGAAAGGAAAAAAAATATATTTTCAAATTATTTTTTATCAATTCTTTTTTAAAATTAGAGTATAAAATAATATTCGTTATAAATTTATCTGAAAAGAAAGAATAAAAATAAAATATTTAATAATCTTTCAAAATTTTATGTGAATTATTTTTTATAATTTTAAGTTTTTCTAAGGATATCAAATTGAGACAAAAAACGTAGTTTTTTGTCTCAATTTGATATCCTTAGAAAAACTGTGAAATGAAAAAAAATTCGTGAAATTTAATTGAATAGAAAAAATATATTCTTAGTATTAAGCCCTTCAAAATTTACACTTTTTGGGTTTAAAAATATTTACAGAATTTAATTGAAGGGGAAAACAATTTAAATCTTTTAAACTAAAAATATTCTTGTATTCTTCTAAATTTTTCGAAATAAAAAAGTTCATCAAAATACAGAAAAAAAATTGAATTATAAAACTGAAATAAGTGCGCTTTAAATGGCCTCTGAAAAAAAATGTCTCGAAAGAGTTTCGAAGCTTTTAATGAAACAATGAAGGATTGCTGATTATATGGAAAAATGTGCGAGAGGTGATATTATCGATTTATATTTTTAAGTTGACGATGATGATGATGATGATGACGACGACGGCGACGGCGACGATGAATGACATTGGTGACATTGTTCGTCACACTGTCCTAAAAAAAAATATATGTATGCGTGTGTATTTTTTTTTTCATTCTTTTTCTTTGAACATTAATATAATGCATCGTCATGACGCGTGGATTGTAGAGGACGCGTAAGTAGTTACAGCGTGGCAGTAGTTACGGCCTGTTTATAGAAGTATCTGTCTGATCAGTCTGTGCTTGACGGTCTCTTACTACTGTGAACGAGGCCCCCATTGTAACACACAGCGTTAATCGAAGCGAGACGCCGACGTCCGACCTTCTCAAGCTACTAAACTATACCTGTTTTTACCTGCGAGAATGCTTTCTAGAATCCAGATTAAATGCGCCTTTTGCTTCTCCTTTGGAATCTTACTTGGCAAAATAATATATATATATATGTAGATATAAAGAGGAAAAAGGAGCGCAGGGGTAGCTGAGAATATTATTTTTC